TGGCGAGTTGGGCTGTAGGTGGGGAAGAACAGGAAGTGGCAGAAAAGCAGCAGGTGAATTTGGGTGACCCTCGCTTGCCTCCCTGGACAGGTGGTCCTGTACCTCCATTGGCAGCAGCCCACAGTACAACATCTGCGAGCAGATGATCCAGATCCGAGAGGACCACATGCGCTTCATCTCGGAGCTGGCCCGCTACAGCAACAGTGAGGTATGTATGTGCGTGTGTGCGCGCGCGTTTTGACGGCACCATGAGCACATTGAGAAGGGGGTGTGGTGTGCGTCATGTTCTGTGTAGCACAGCCGGTAGATTGATGTTCTCTTAAATGGATTTGGGCAGCCAAAGAAAAATGGAACTCCAATGACTCGTAGAAAGCTGGCTGATTTTGTTTTTATAAATCTCTCCGAGCATAAGAAAGCAATTTACTGAAACTCCGAAGTCTTCAAAATTCAAGCACTTGTTTCCTCAGGAAATGAAGCAGTAGGAGTTCATCTTATTGCTATCTGTGTAATATTCAGGGATATCAGGGTGCTCATTGAAGTATGCTTCCTCATACCTTATGTGGTTTTTTGGATACCTTAACTGATTGAAATTCCACTAACCTACAGGAAAATAAATTCTGCTCCAATTATTATCTTATTGAAAATGAATGTTACAATTACAGTGATATTTTTAGGGTGTTCTCAACAGGCAGGGGTATTAAGAAATGAATTTCAGATGCTTTATTAGCACTGAAGTTCAATTCCAGTTTCAATACCTGTGGTCCTCTATAGTGCAAAAAACATCTATTTGATGTAGATACCATCAAAAGAGTATTTCTTTACCTTTCAGAGTTTCTTTACTGGAATGTTATGTATCTCAGAGTTGCATCTCTTATCGTTTCCAATGAGAGAGGTCAGACTTCCTGTCTTATCGCAACAAATGTTGCCAGTTGTTTGCTGTAGTAAACATTATCAGTATCTATGTGTGAGTAAAATTTTGGAAACTATTGTTAAGTGTGAAATATTTTTTCCTGTAGCAACCATTGTCCAGTAACTTTTGTGATTGTGCAGATGTTTGACATTTGGCTCTTTGGATTAATATCAATGTCACACTTTAGATTAGAAACCGAAATTACTTTTGATAGGAGATTGTAAGTTCTAAGAGTAAAGTGACATGAATGTATTTATAACTAATCTAATTTAACTGACATTTGGAAATAGTCTTAATTTTGTACTAAATAATACCTAAATATTAATAACATTAGTACACTGCTATAGAGGAGACCTTACAGTCCCAGTTAGTGTTAACAAAACCGATCCTCAGAAATTTTATCCCCAGTTCTCAAGGCAAACATGAAAACATTCCAGTTTAAAAAAATGTATTTTAAATATCAAAACAAATTTAAAACATGCTTTCAATTAAATCTAAAGAGCCCAACTGACATCCACTTTGCTAAAGGTGAGAAAATATCCTCTAATCTGTAAAGAAAAACATTTAAATGAGCCTTATCAGGGTTTTAAAATGATCATTTGCTGTTATAGAACATTTTCTCCTTCAGTTTGGAAAGGTGCTCATCCTGTCCTTCAATGGAAGTCTTGCTCAAAATAGTTGACGGTATCTTTACTAGTAAAAAAGTGTACCTTTGTTAAATATAGTCATCATGTAGGACAGATTTTTATCCAAGATAAATAAGCATCATGTAATACATAAACTGTTAGATTGAAGCAGCTAAAATTTAATCATAATTGAAGACTATTGTCAATTAAGTATTAAAGTGCAAAGATAAAAAGTTAAGTTAACTAACTAATTGCTTGTTCATATCTTGAACAAATTCCAGTTGTTTCAGAACATCCCTTGTTCTGTAACAGTTTTATGAAATGACCCTGTGGTTTGGCTTTTGTGATAGGAAGTACTACTGAAATAGATCAGCGAGTAACTAGCAGTCTTGTTTCAAAACCGTGCGAAGTGGTCCTGAATCGTTACCTAGGTTCTGTACATGCATGAGGTTGTTGGAGGTGAAATCTGACATGTTCCTAGAGGGACCTGGGCTGGACTGCATTGCCAGAGGACTGGAAGACCCATCCTCCAGCCTTTTGATGCACTGAGTACGCCAGTACGTTGAGCTTCATAGGAAGCACTGTGGTGAATGTTGTTTCCGAAGCCGTGCTCGCTGTCCTGCAGGTGGTGACGGGCTCGGGCCGGCAGGAGGCTCAGAAGACGGACGCGGAGTACCGGAAGCTGTTTGACCTGGCGCTGCAGGGGCTGCAGCTTCTGTCCCAGTGGAGTGCTCATGTCATGGAAGTGGTGAGTACATGAGACAGGCCTGTTTTAGGCAAGGTCACGTGACCACTTGAACCTTCCTTCTGTCAGGCATCAAAGAACAGGAGCTTTTGGCACAAGGCAGGGCAATGCCTTGGGTGAGATGCCAGTCCACAGGGCGAGTTCACTTTAATTACTTTGTCTTGTTTCCTACTCAGGTAGGAGACAAGATGTGCTTGCAAGACACTTATCACTCCATTTACACTGCATGTTTGTAGGGTCAAGTCATTTTGTTGGCTGTTTGGGGGGAAAAAATAGGTTGAAATGCCCAGTCCACTGCTCTGTAGTTTCTATCAGTTTTACATTGCACTTTGAATTAATGCACTAATATTGGGCTTCTGGAGTATGTCCTTCCACCCACTGTTACCTTTTTAGATATTCTTGAATCTTGATCTTAGATTTCCATGATGACATCACTTTAGATGCCGCTACTCACAAAACATCAGCAAGTTGAACAGTGTTGGTCACTGTAGCTCCAGCCAAATGTACCTCAACAATCACCCCTCTCTGAGTCACTGATATCTCTGGTTGTATTGGGTGAATAGCTCATTTTTGGTTTACTCAGCATTTTTTGACCCACTGCATTAGTGATCTTAATAAAAAGATGTTCATCAGGTTTTTTTTATTCTTAAAACTGTGGTTAAAATCTAACAACATTTTAGGTTTCAAATATGTGCAAATCGTGAGCAACCTTTTCTCAGTACTGTACCTGTTCTACTGTTAAAATTGGCATCAGACTAATTAGCAAAGAAATGAATAACATGTATTATGCATTGTCTGCCATGGGCAGGAATAGTAGAACAGAGTCAATCTTATTAAAAATTCACCAAAGATTCAGCCTCAAGAATGTGTTTTTGAAGCCAGTATATATCTGCTTATAAAATATTGGTTTTCAGGTATTCTGAACATGTTATTGCACTTGAGTAATTTGCATGTTTCACAAATAGAGCAGTTCCACATCTCTAGGGCATACAATTCCAGGCGGCATGAACCAACAGCAGGCAAGACTGCAAAAAACTTTATCCTAACAATGCACGTTTCTGTCTTCATGAACACTTTAGAAAACATTTCTAACTTAGCATGACCCAGAACCATGAGAAGAACTCTTCAAGCTAGAGTTTGGGGAAATGCTGTTCTACAGTATTTCCCTGCGTTGCAAGTGTGAAGGAAAATAAAAAAGGACAATTGCCAGATAATTAGTTAAAGGGTTTGCTGGTAAAGATACAAGACTTAGCACAAAGTGGACTTAGTATCCTCTATGGCTGGTAGCAGTGGTGCCCCAGTATTGTTGTGATTATTTGCTCTGTTTCAATTGCTGCCCCTCTATTTACCTAAGAATTTTGCACTCCAACAACTCCCTGTAACAAGCAGAAAGCCTCCGGTATTGTAAAAAATAGTGCAAAACTATTCACTTCATCCTCTGACTCAGAAGCTGTATCATTGTATCTTTTCACACATATGTGGAACCTGATTTTTGTTATTTAGATGTAACTTTTTTTTATGCAGCCTTTTCCGTAAACATATTTATCAAGGGGGATTTTGTTGTGTGATACAGGGATAGTGACAGGTTCCTGAAGTGTTAATTTTTTTCACTCACTTTGGAATGTACGCCTTCACTTTTAGCTTCTAATGATTTTCTTGGTCATACAGTAGAAATATACCAATGAATTATTCATCGGATGTATGTCTTTTATCTTGCTCATTTTAACCAATGGTGCACTCTAGCAACTAGTCCTTGAAAGTTCACAAAATGTACCCTGAAACTTGAGGGTAATTTTAATTTTAATTCATATGATTTTTCTATTAATCTATTTTAAATGCTGTCGGAAGAATGTCAGTGAAGGACAAAGGGGATTGTCGTACCTCCCAGACACAGTTACAGCTTACCTTGTGGGGGTTGGTGCTCAGAATCTCTTTTGTGTCTTGTCTTTTTGTAGTACTCGTGGAAGCTGGTGCACCCCACTGACAAATACTCCAACAAGGAGTGCCCAGATAATGCAGAGGAGTATGAAAGAGCAACAAGATATAATTACACCAGCGAGGAGAAGTTTGCCCTTGTGGAGGTGAGACACGGAAAATCTGGGAGACTCTGACCTTTTCGTAATGTGCTGAAATGAGAATCACTGATGGAGACAATCAGCTTTTCCAGATTTGTAAATTCAAGGCATCAGCCAGCTTTTTTAAAAAATATATTTTTTTGTAAATATAATATCCTTTTTGCCAAGCTGAACATATGTTTAATTTCTATTTGTCTAGTGTTTAACTTCTCAAGTATATGTATTTTTTTTTTTTTAATTCAATCGGTAATTTTATTATGTACCAACCCTATTTGGAATTGCACGCTCCTCATACATGCCTACCTGTCCAAGCCTTTACTCCTCTGACACGTTTCAGGATTCACAGTGCCTTCCTGGAGAGTTGGTGCCAGCTGGGGAAGCAGGTTGTCTCTTACTGATGATGCCCCCTGTTCTGTAGGCTGCCAGCAGGTCACAGGAATTACTGTCTTGCCAAAAGAAAATGAGACCATTGCCAGCCAATGCCCATCATACCTTAGCTGTCCTGATCACAGTCTGTGGATAACATGACCCAAACTGATCATTGTAAAATGGGTTTTTAAAGCCAGTTCAGTCTGGATCGAGCCTGGTCTCTACCCATTGTAGAACATAGACTGCAGTAGGACATCAGGGCTGATCATCCGTTTGTCACGCCAGGTTATGGCCATGATCAAGGGCCTGCAGGTCCTGATGGGGAGAATGGAGAGCGTCTTCAACCATGCCATCCGCCACACCATCTACTCCGCCCTGCAGGACTTTGCCCAGGTCAACCTCAGGGAGCCCCTGCGCCAGGCCATCAAGAAGAAGAAGAACGTTATCCAGAGGTTAGGCCACGCCCCTGCCGCTTGCAGTGAATCTCCGAGTCTCTCGGTTCTATGCAGTTCTTTAACAATAGCAGCGTGGCTGAACATGAGAAGTGTGAACGGGGTAAAATTTCATTTTATAAAGAAGACGGTTGTTTCAGTTGTTTACCTTAGGGTTATAGCTGTCAAACATGTTCATCTTAATTTTCTTTTTGACTTTGGAATAGTACACTTACTTTGTTTTCAGCTTTTAATTTTAAGGGATAGGATAAGAAGCGGAATGTATCTGGAGAAATATTTTTTTGCTGTTATACTGTGACGCAAGAACTAGAATAATATCAAAGATGTCCTAAGCGGGTCAACATTGAATTAATTCGGATATAAAAAAAAACATTCCAGAGCTTTAGTGGATTTGACAGCAATATAAACTCTAGGCAGCAAGTATGATTCATAATTCATGAGCTCATATCAGCAGACTGAGATTTTAATGTTTTACATGGTCTTCCAGCTTTTTGTTTTGAGTGAGATGCTTTCCTAAACCTTAACCCATAATTCTTTCAGATTTGTCCTCTGCTTATCAGATATGTTACTGCAGAGCTCAGCCTTTTTCCACATGAAGATCAAGTTATAAATATACATGTGCAAGTGCTATCCTGACCACTTTCATTCTCGGTAAATGTTTCCCCTCAAATTATATATAGAGTGGCTTGCATCCTGTGAGCAGAAGATTGAAAGGAAATGTTTGATGGCAGGATCTAACAACTCTTTCCTTTCATGCACCTTGTTTGGGGTTCACATCACATGTATATGAAATATAAAAAGAATAGGAAGTCATAACCTCCAGATGCTGCTTTGGAAAAAAAGCATTAGCCAAGTAATAAAATTGAACCAGTTAGAAGAGGTCACCAAGCCCATTTTCCTTGCAATCTGATCGGGGAGCTTATTCCAGATAGTCTTTTATATGAAGAAGTGCCTCTTCTGTCCCGTCCTGTTTGAATACTTTTTTTGGTCTGCACTTGTCCACAATTTCCATTTATTTCACTGTTCTACCAGTAGACAAGTGAAACTTAATGGAGAACTGCAGTCACAATTTTTCAGACTGGTTATTAAGTCTCAGCGTAATGAAAGTAAATTCATTGACGATATCGCAAAATTTGACAAATTCTGAATTAAGCCGGAAATCATGGAGTTTGTCAAAGTACTGTATACTTTGGGAAAGTAGCCATGGTGTTGCATACTCCTGGTCTCGCCACGGGCCTGTTTCCTGCTCACTAGTCACTTTAATCATGTCTAATGCGATGCACAGGTTGTGCTACAGACATTTCACTGCAGAAAATTTCCATCGTGATCTGTTTGCAGAGTTAACAAGTAGTATTAATCAACAAAACTGTCTCCTAAGCCTAGAGCAATATTCTTATTGGATTCTTGTTGAAAGAGAGGTATTCACAAGCCTGCTTGTTTACAATGTGAAAAAGCTGCTTCACGTCACTGGACGTTTTGTTTCCTCGTTCTGAATTGCAGAGAATGACGGTATTGTGGTGCTGCACATACCTGGAAATGTACTCTATTTTGTGAAGTAAATTAGAGGTTTTATGCATTACTGTGTACATTTCACTTTAATTGTGGTTAAACTTGAGTTAAACTTAGCCTTGCTGTTTCCCTGTATGAGCCTTTGTGAGTCCTATCTTGTATGCTTGTCCTGTTGCAGTTCGCTGTTCTTAGCTAAGGTTTTTCTGTATTGCTGCAGTGTCCTTCAAGCTATAAGGAAGACTGTCTGCGACTGGGAGACTGGTCGGGAACCTCCCAATGATCCGGCCCTCCGTGGAGAGAAGGACCCCAAGGGTGGCTTCGATATCAAAGTGCCCCGTCGGGCTGTGGGACCATCCAGTACACAGGTGTTTGCGCCTTTCGTTTCATGCAGGGGGTTGCAGATCGCCGTCAGTACAGCGGGTTGGGGGCTGCAAAAAAAAATGGATCAAGAAAAAATGTAAAGAAGGAAGGGTTTTGGGTGATAAAGACGTTTGGGGGGGGCTTCTTACAGTTATTTTTTGGACGGTGTCTTCTACATGTTTTTCTCAAAGATAGGGGTTTATTCTTTTGATCATTGTACAGTAGTTCTGGGAGGGATGTTAAGTTATTTCGCATGTGATGGCTTGTATGACAAATATTTGTATTTACTGTAGTAAAAACATGCTTTACTCTTTTATACTCCATAACTCTTCTTAACCCTATAATTGGGGCATTGTCACTATTTCATTTCCTCCTAACCATTAACCAGTCTGCAGTGTTTTGTCATGCATTTTGCTTTGTAGCTCAAATTGAACTACTTAGCACATTATACATTTTTCTTATGGTAAAGTACTATACTGGAATATAGCCTAGAACTGTTGATCTAGTGGGTAGTGTGCCATTACTTGTTGATTGCTCAATAGTACTCAGTAGTGTTTTATTAACATTATCTGACAACTCACACTGCGTTTACCCACTGCCTGTCTCCCTCGCTGTGTGTTGGTTTCAGCTCTTCCTGGTGCACACTATGGCCGAGTCCTTTCTCTCTGCTAAGCAGCTTAAGTCAGTTGGAATGGAAAAATTAGAGTATGTCATAAGCAAGTTTCTGAAGTTCTCCTAAGTTTTTCCATCTCTTATTATGTTTGGTGTTAAGAAAATTATTGTATCCTTCTATGCAACAAACGGGATGACATCTCCACTTCCATGCACATCCTCAGCCTGGAGGTGTGGAGCCATTAGAGAGCTGCAAGAGTTTCCCACTTTGCGACAAAGGGGGGCAGTTAGATATCCTTAAAAAGAAAAAATTTAAAATATGAAAAATTGTTGGAAGTTTAGAACCTCTTAACACCCTCACTCTCAAGAGAAGCATCCTAATTCTTAAGGAAAGCCAGTGTACAGTAAAGCTATGGAGCACCTCTTTTAAACCTTTTCAGTTACACATTTAATAAGATGCGGTGTATTTATATCTCCTCACTGCTTTTTCCACAAAAAGTCAGAGTCAGAAGAAGGCCCTGAGGTAGGCATCCTGCCAGGATGAGGGATGCAGTTAACCATTGGAGTGGAGCTGTTTCTGTTCTGCGTTTCGCCAGTGTACTGTGACTAAATGGCGCCTTTTTCTTCCTGCCCGGTTCTTCTTCCTGTTAATGTAGCTGTACATGGTGAGAACCATGCTTGAGTCGCTCATCGCTGACAAAAGCGGCTTCAAGAAAACCCTGCGGAGCAGTCTTGAGGGACCCACCATTTTGGATATAGAAAAATTCCACCGGGAGTCCTTCTTCTACACACATTTGATAAATTTCAGTGGTAAGGCTGTTGGACCGCAGGTGACGGATGTTGAGTGAGCGTGTCCTTGCTTTAACCCGCAGGGTCTGCTGTTTCCAGTAGTTTTGGATTTCACATTCACATTTCTTGCACACATTTCAGATGCGTGTGTCTGCTTGGATCTTGTAACAGGATGATTTTTGGCTTTAGTTTCAGTTTCTGGCTCAAATGATTGGGGTAGAATGGCCATTAAAATAAAAGTAAATTGTGTTAGTGAACATATTTTCTACAGTAAACTGGAAAATGTGAGGCATTTCAATGAGAATCCAGACATTGTATCATCTTAGAACCATTAGTTTTATTTTAAATGACTCTTAATGACTCTTTGGGGCGGAGTGGTGGCTCTGTGGCTCAGGATCTGCGCCTGTGGCTGGAAGGTTGCCGGTTCAAATCCTGCAGCCGGCAGAGGAATCCTACTCCGTTGGGCCCCTGAGCAAGGCCCTTAACCCCAACTGCTCCAGGGGCGCTGTACAATGGCTGACCCTGCGCTCTGACCCCAGGCTCTCTCCCCGTCTGTATGTCTCATGGAGAGCAAGCTGGGGTATGCGAAAAGATAATCCCTAATGCAAGAAATTGTAAAGGGTTAATAAAGTGATGTTATTATTATTAAGATACTCGGTACTCTGGCAAACTCCGTGCCAGCTTTTCTTTCTTTCCTTTGTGATCTTTAGACCTCGTAGCCTTTATAGTGGTTAAGCTCTTACTTTGTGGTTGTAACTCACTGTCATATTATTCACATTTGTCGCTTGATATGTCAATTATATCAATTATGTATGTTGCAGGTACAGGTAGTGCACTAGTCAAGTTCTGAGATTAAAATTGAAATAAGAAAATCAGCAAACTGATGAAGATACAAAGGAAATTCCAAACGATTTAGGAATCTGGCATAAGATTTTTAGTGTAGTCAAACAGTGTAGATAAAAAAACGAACAGTATAAAATAGAAAAACCTGAGCTTGAAGCTGCATCTAAAAAAATATTTAAGTGTCTTTGTTGATGCATCATTAACATTTAGGTAATATGGAGAAGAGATAGAAGATGCAAGCCAATTGTTAGGATATGTTGATAATGCTTGTGAAATTTAAATTAAGGAGTATTATGTTGAAATTACATAAAGCTGTAGTAAGTCCTCATTTGTAATGTTTGTAAATAAGAGACCAAGTATGGACCCAAAGGAATGTCCTTTGCTGATGGGCTACAAGGAATAGACAAAATCAATCTGGTAATGAGCCTTGACAGAGGACACACATAGAACCTGTGAGGATGTACATTTACAATAGAGGAGGTGGTGAATTTTGCTCACCAGTTCTTCAAGAACTGGATGATCACATTCTCGTATCAGTTAGTTACTAACCTTTAGCAACCCAATTGGTTAAATGGGCCTGCTTGGCTTCCTCTTGTGGAACAGGCACAGGTTTATTCTGTACTCAAAGGAAAAGAAAAAAAACCTGACACCTTATACCTGAAGAAGGCTCCACAGCTGGAACATTGTGTCTCTGTTCTTTTCCTTTCAGCTTGGAATATAAACCTGTATCTGTTCCTCTGTAGCCTACGTATGCCATCACAGTTACCTTCTTAAACTTCCTCTCATGTGTAAGCATGGTCTTATTAGTTATACCGTTTCTTTAGCAAGATACTGCTATTTGTCCTTTCCAGCTACAGCAACAAACCGGATGGATTTCGGGTGTCGGAATATGACATATGTTACAAATATGTCAATTTGACTCGGAACAGAAGCCAGCCTTAATGTCCGGTGCTGAACCTCGTTGGTGACGGTGTGGAGACCGGCCCAGTCATGTTGTGCCGTCCTGTTGTGTATCCTCTCCCCACCAGAGACGCTGCAGCAGTGCTGTGACCTGTCCCAGCTGTGGTTCCGGGAGTTCTTCCTGGAGCTCACAATGGGCCGCAGGATCCAGTTCCCGATCGAGATGTCCATGCCCTGGATTCTCACAGACCACATCCTGGAGACCAAGGAGGCGTCCATGATGGAGTAAGGGTCTTCATCTTGTCTTATTCCCGTGAAATCCCAGAGATCATCCAGTTAAGAAAAGCTCTCTTTTGGGGGCTTTTGAGGAGGTACAGATGGGTTTCTCCTAAGCACTGGATTTGAGGTGTTCTGTTTGTATCTGTGACCTCCATTGTTCAAAGCTGGAATTTAAGCCTTGTAAATATCGGTGGAAGGTAAATTCAAGCACCTCACCCCCACAGACAGCCCTACTGCGATGATTACATGGGGAGGGACTCACTGTATGCCTAAAAATCTTGTCGTACAATTCTTATCTGCAAGTGAAACACTGCAAAGGTAGACAGCTTTTTACACATGGGCAAAACTGAACACCATTTGTAAAAAATGAATGTGTGATTCAGTATAAATTCAGTTTTATGTAGAATATCTGCCTGTAGATGGCAATTGATTATAGAACATTCTGCAAAATCTGTCTTTATCTCAGCATGGCATGCCCAGTTAAATAAATAATGGGGAACTCAGGAGCAGTGGAGACTGAGCCATCAGCCTCTTCCACTTAGAATCCCTGGAGTGGGTTAAAAAGGTTGTGTTAAATTAATGCTTGCAGCGTCTGGATAGACTGTGCGAGAAGCAGAAAAAAAGTCATCATAAAAGCTATCATTCAGGCTCCTTGGCAGCTTCTTGGATTGTTTTTTGTTCAGCATGTTACTCTTGTGTACCTTTCAGTGTAATGCTTTCATCATGAGCCCCTAATAGTAAATGAAAAAGACTTCTCAGTGTTTTATCTTGAAAGTCACTGTGAAATCAGCGTGGAGGTTAGACGGGTGGGTAGTGTAGGAGTATGGTGTGATGAGGTTGCCTGCAGAACCTCAGTTCAGTGTGCCGGTCTAGCTGTGTCCATCAGCACGGATGATAGCTGGTTCTGTGATTCAAGTTCTGCACAGAAACTGTTCACTTTGAAAGACTGTGTGGTAATATTACAAAGCTTCAGCTTCTTTAATCCCAGTCTACCGGGATTGGTGACTTGAATATTTGCTTAGGATTCTAGTCATTTATTATTTAGTCTACTAAATAAGACTTCCAGATAATATTTTTTTCTAACCTGCAAAAAATAGCGTACAGCATATTTAAGTTTACAATGCGGTAATGTATCAGTAGCATGTAAATGGCATTTATTGGTGCGTTTATGGGTAAACTGCGTGCCCCCCCAGTTTATTTAGTCCTAAATCATTTGTGGGAGAGATGGAATCATTTGCGCGTTGAATTGAAAGAACATCGTTTAGTGATTGAAGAGAGAAACAAATGAATCATTGAAAAAAATGACACTTTGGATTTGACAACTTTGTACTTGGCTGAGGGAGAAGGGGAATAAAAAGCTGAGAAATGGAAAACAAAGCAATTTGTTGTTTCTGATTCCTGGAAAATAAAACATTTGCAGTAATTTCCATAATTCAGTACAATCATTAGCAGTAGTGTGAAATGTATTCAGATCAAGTAGGTTTTCTTAAGGCATTGAAGAAGTTGGTTGACTGTTAGTCTGAGAATGCTTTCCAGATAATAGCAACAAAACAAAATGGTTTTTTTCAATACAAAAATTGTCTTGAACAGCACAAGAATTGTTTTCATTATTTTCAGCTGAAATTGAGCAGCCTGTCATTTCAACGATGTTCTGTGTAGGGGGAAAAAGCCTTTGACAAGGGAATTTTTAAAAAAGACTATTTTGCACAAACTTCCTGTTTGTTCTCACTTTTAGTTGCTGCCATTTTATTTGAGCAGTTTTTGTATTGACAGCATTTTTCTTTTTTTTAAAACAAAATCATTTACCCATTCAAACATACAAAGACTGCAGTCTGTATCTGTATCTGCCATACAAATATTGGGTGGAACCACTGTAAAAAGGTACTAAAGAAAAGTCTGGAAATTTCAGGACAACCATTTTAGTTTCTTGTCACTTGAACAGACGTGTGTTCATTTACAGTGTACTTACAGTGATACGTATTTGTATACCTGGGTGAGAAATGATCAGAGTCTCGTATATTGTAATGGTTGTATTGCCTTCCCACAGGTATGTTCTTTATCCCCTGGACCTGTACAATGACAGTGCCCACTATGCCCTGACCAAGTTCAAGAAGCAATTCCTGTACGATGAGATTGAGGCTGAGGTACTGTTTTAATTCACACTTCAGTTTTCTTTGCCTTGTGAATCAAATTCGATGATGTGAAACGTAGGAGACACTGTGGATTGTGGAAGTGTAGAAATCATTATTCCAGATTATTCCAGACCTGGCTGAAATGCTTTTTAAACAGGCCAATATGTCAGAAATGACTATTGTATGTGACACCTCAGCAGTAACTGAAAGGCAGGATAACATCCGAAATAGCCACTGGACCCTAAGTGGAAATACTTTCTATGATACCAATACATTGGATGTGGTTACTCATAAACACCCCTTCACGGTAATAACATAGAGTGAAAACACTCTTTAACACTGCTGGAATTCAGGAAACTGCAGGAAATACACTTTATTTGCCTCTTCTCCCAGTTTTCTCTGGAAATGGCCTTTCTCATCACAAATTAGATCTCATTTCAAGGCTTAATGGAGCTGCCCAGTGCCTCCCTGAATCCTTAAATCTTTTATGGTACTGCCTGGTTCAGGCTAAGCTTTTTTCCCCGTCACTACAACTACAAAAAGGAAAGGATACAATTAAATCATAAATATTTAGGGCTTTTTTTATCTTTAACTCATGGATGAAAAAGATGCAGTACGCAGAATATTGAAAGCTTGCAGTGCATGTTGTGCCCATAGCCTGAAAGCTAGAAGGTGCTTTCATGTCGTACATAACCAGTGCTGTAGTGCACATTGGATGCTTTTGTTTGTAGTGTAATTTGAAACTAATGCCAATATTACAGCTGTGCACCATAATGCCTCAGTCCCTCACTACCTTTGAGATTATATGGTGCTCGCTATATGTAGTTATTGACTTGATAATTAATTAGCTAAGTGCACTAGTTAATTAGGGGGACTGAGCAGCACTGAGGAGTAAAGGAGGAAAGTGATCAGGCTCTGCAGGTGGGAGAATGGAGTTTGGGTGCAGAAGAGGCAAAGGCAAAATCTGTACCAGTTCACAATAACTTGTTAGGACACAGTTCAAGGACACAACAGCAGGATCTGGAGCAATTATTTCCACATATTTTCTTAGAAAGGACATGACCCACAAACTAACTTTATTCAGGTATTTATGTATTCCTTATTGTATTTTTTTCTGTTTTTAATACAATTTTGAAGGGGCTTTCTAGAAGGAGTTCAGCTGAAGAAAAATATTGTAACAAAGGATTATAAAGAAAAGACAGTCTGTCACTAAGGGATATGTTTTTCTTTTGTTAGGTAAACCTGTGTTTTGACCAATTTGTTTATAAGCTTGCGGACCAGATATTTGCCTACTACAAGATTCTGGCTGGAAGGTATGTAAATGCACTGAGAAAGGTGCTTTCTGATATCTGTAAATATAATAGGTGTTACACTAGAGATGAACATGAGGAAACAAGTAGAGAGTAAGAAATTGGATTTTTACCCCTCTTTCATTGTGAAATTCTCTGCCTCCCATTACATTGCATAAGAAAACAATTCCATCCTCATAAAAACAGTTGTACATATGCCTTGCATATGGGTGTATAAGGAATTTGCTGGTTTACTTCAGCAGATAAAACTACCATTGCTGCAATTAAAAAAAAAAACAGCAATCTTACTGCATTAGTTTGGCAAAATAAGTATTTCTATATTTGACAATGAAAATGGGTATTTATCAACCTTCAATTGATATGAAGAGTAGAAACAACACCATTAGCATCATATGCTGACATATTATGTTCAGTTTCATATATTTCTACTCTCATTAAGGAGCTTGGAACTTGTACAAAACCATATAAAATGTATTTTTAGCCTTATAAGACTAGCTCTTACAGAAAAGGCACCAGGTAGTACTTCCTCTTCAGCTTTGTAGAGTCTTTTGCCTTTGTTTGATTATTCCCTTTTTGTATAGGTTTAAAGGTGAACAACTTATTCAGTTTTTTTAGCTCCTCTGATGTCCATTAGTTTTCATAACATGCATCTCCACTGACTTCTGTTGACAGCCTGCTCTTAGACAAACGTCTGCGAGCAGAGTGCAAGAATCAAGGAGCTAACATCCCCTGGCCAGCTTCCAACAGATACGAGACCTTGCTGAAGCAGAAGCATGTTCAGGTAAGGAAACCTCTTGCTTCGCTGACTTGTAATGTTGTAGAATTCTGTACATGGGTATTGTTTCAGTCTCACCCGGTGTGAACCACGCTATTCATAGTGGGGCAGTCGCTTTGTTGCTGTTGCAGTAGAGTGTGGGCAGCAAATCAGTCTCTGCTCTGCTCTGAGCTGTGGTCAGACTCTAAGGACTTGATCCTGCTGCTTTCCAGATATATTATATAACTGACCTTGAACACCTCGGAATATGTAGCTGTAGGAGGATGATCCAATAGTTGTCAGTGTGTGTTGTGCTGACTCTGTGGACTGCGTTTATTATTCAGGCTTGTGTAAAAAATGGAAATGCTCAGTACCCAGCAGGTGCCAAAAGGAGAGAAATGGAGAGACCCTGCTGAGTCTATGAAAGCGTACAGAGCTGGAGGCCTCTTCACTGAGATATCAGATGGTCAGACAGCTCTGCTGCAGTGTTCTGCTTTTCATCCTGTTTTACTTCTTCAAACTGATGTGATTCCATAAAATTTCTTATTACTCTAAGGCCCGCAGAGAGTTCTGTGACTCCTCGGGTGGAACAACTTTCTCTGTAATGTTTGTCAAGTGAAATCTGTCACATGCACACAGTTTTAAAGCTACATTATCCTAAACCTATAGAACCTTAGTCAGTATTGTCTAAAGTTATGCAAATGTATTGTATGTGTTCAGCCATATGTAATGAAATAGGTTTTAAACTTCACGCTAAACCTAATCAGCATGTGAGACCCAACACTATTAGGTGCAGAACTTCCTTTGCATAGATATTATTTTCTATTTTCTATTTTCTTTTTTCTTTTTTCTTTTTTCTTGGGACACCTCTGCTGTCTTTGTAATTGTTTAAGGACAAGATTTGTCAAAATACTGAAGGATGTTAGAGTCAGTCTGTAATCATAAGATTCTGTTGTATGTATGGTGGGCGGGGGGGTGGCAAATACCAGGATTTCACACCAAAAAATAAAACACATTTTCTTTTCTTTCTTTTTTTTTTACCTCGTATGATCAATCCAGCTCCTGGGCAGATCCATAGACCTGAACCGCCTGATCACTCAGCGCGTCTCTGCCGCCATGTACAAGTCCCTTGAGCTGGCCATCAGCCGCTTCGAGAGTGAGGATCTCACCTCTATCATGGTAGGCCTGTCTGTTGTGCACGTGATGAATTGTAACGGGCTCAACAAGGTTCTACAAGGCTCACCAAGGTTCTTCTCTAGAGGTAGAATTTTGTAATTAAACACACAGTCCTTCCCTGCTTTGATTTAGCATTGAATCACATGAAGGTCCTGCTTGGAGCCTTTGTAAGAGTAATAAATCAGACTTAAGAACAAAAAATAAAAACCCCATGGTGAATGTGTGTAATATTATAGTAATTGAGTATTTTTTTATTACCGTTTAATAATTCATGGTAATTGATTGCAAGGTGGATTCCTGGTCAGAGCGTTAATCTTATGTATTCAGGGGCCTCATTTAATACTTCTGCTCCTTAAGAACATCCTGGTTCGCATCAACATGAAAATGGCAGTGTTGTAGTGACACTCATTTCTAAATTTAGCAGGTGGTCTGATCTGGATCTGAGAGTTGTATAGTGCATGATGAAAGTTGACCAGTGATTGATGCACTTTTTCAGGAGCTGGATGGGCTACTGGAGATCAATCGGATGACACACAAGTTGCTCAGTAAGTTCCTGACTCTGGACAGCCTGGATGCCATGTTCAGAGAGGCCAACCACAACGTGTCTGCGCCTTATGGCAGAATCACCCTTCATGTCTTTTGGGAGCTCAACTATGATTTCCTTCCCAACTACTGCTACAATGGATCCACCAACAGGTAAGTTAGCCTGTACTTCTCCACATTCAGGAAGGCCAGTTCATACTCCAAATAGGCACATGTTTGGTTATATCGGTACACTAATTGTGTTCGACACCTGAAGAAGGCTTCACAGCCGAAACATTGTTTTCTCTCTTCTCTTTTCAGCATGGAATAAACCTGTTACTTGTTCCTAAATGTGTTATTACTTGGACAATTTCATTATTTTCTGTTTTCTATGAAAAACCAAAAGTTAGATATTGCTTGTGATTGTAATTTCCCTGACCATTTTAAAATGGAGCCACCTTTTGCTCAGACTGCTTCTTTTCCAGCTGGCTGCATTACTTGGAGTAATTGAAAAGTAATATTAAATATAATGTTACATGCAGTATATATTAATAAATGCCATTATATATTGTTTTATAATTACAAATAAAAAAACAACTTCTTCAAAAGTTGAGAAGAGGAGTGGGGGTCCAAATACAAAACACTTAAAATGATTTTCCTTCTGCAGGATTTATTGATTTAAATGTGAACAAATACTCGGCCAAAGTACTGATTCAGGCAGTGATTGACATTTACAGAGGATATGTGCTTCTCAAGATAAATGTATCCTGGTTTTGCAGCCATCTTGTGGCGCAGGCTGGAGGATTGGTCCCATGATGGATCTGCCTCTCTATCTGTGTTTGAAAGTGTTGTTATAGGATGATGTCAACCATGTGGTCACCGCTGTCCTGATCTATCAGCCTTGCATCTCTTAGAGCCAGTGAGCTCTTTCCTTGCCCTGGTTATCCCCTCTCTCTGAGAAGAGTGCACTGTTCTCTTGCTGTTGGAACAGCACTCTGCTGCTGTGGCCATAAATCTTTGCAGCCCAGGTGTGCTCTTATGTGGAAGTTGTAATAACCGAGACTTTAATCCTTTCGGATTTTTGTGTGTGTGTGTGGGGGCGAATGCTCATATTAGAATTTCAGTGTCTCCTTGGTTTCTGCAGATCGCCTCAATCCCTGCTTACTATAATAATATTTTTCTGTTATCCAAAACAAAGTGATTTAAAAGAATAATTGAAGTGCTTCACTTGCAAAGCCGTGAGGACCTAGGGGTTTCAGATTTGCACCGGTGTGTGAGTGAATTTTAAAGTTCCTCCTGGCAAGACAGAGCTCACTCTCACTGCAGTAAGCTTGATCTTCTAAAGAAGTTGTTCATTTCTAAAAAAATGCCTTGGCTTACCTTTTGATTGTTGACCAAAGCCCTTGTTTTCAGCTTTTCAAACCAGAATGTAAGCATGGGGTTTGCATCGTTGTCATGCTTCCAGGGTGGTGTTTCAGATATTGGAATTGCTGTGTTTTTCCGCAGGTATGTGCGCACTGTTCTGCCCTTCTCCCAGGAGTTCCAGAGGGACAAACCACCCAATGCGCAGCCACAGTACTTGTATGGCTCAAAGGTCAGTGGCTCATCAGTGCTTGCTTGTGAAGTCATGTGCTCATCACAGGTAGCCCTCAAAGGCCTTGAAGTGTTATACAGTCCAGAAGCTGGAGCCAGCAACCTCCGAGAAAAGTGTGAAGGCCAAACACTTAATTCACCATTTCTTAAATTTGATCTCTAGGATTATTGGTTTATTAAATAGTATAGGATAAGGGTGAAATCCACGTCAGTTCTGCTTATGAAAGGGGTGCACGTATAACATTCCGTTCTCTGTGGTTCTAACTCTTGTTTTCAAATTCATTTATGATTAGTTTAATTCAGTTTAAAACTGTGACATATTGGTGATGTTCGCGGGATTTATTGCTTTAGCTGGCATTGATTAGATAAACGGGTTAATGAGCAGCTGTGGAAATATGGCAAGGAGGAAAAAAAAAATCTTTTTCTCTCCACATTGTATTATCTTCATGGTGTTGTACGTGCACAGAGTACAGATTGGCTTGTTAAGTGCCCAGTGTGTGTCGGAGCCCTCTATTTTTGTCTGTCTTGGTGTGAGAGTAAAAAAAAAAATGAAATAGTGGGAGAAAAAAAAGTAATGAATTTTAATGTTGGTGTTTCAATCTGAGGGACTCTTTTGAATGCATTTTCAGAACTATTAACTACTGGGACCTTAAAAACACGAATGTAATGTAAATGCTTTTGCTCAGAGGCAGTTTTTGTGTCTATATTGGGCTTTGTGTAAAGGCATCTTAACGTCTGCCATGTCTTATTGGATCTTATGTGTTAAGCACTTGTACGTACTGCTGTTGGTATGGTCTTGAAGGGTGACTGCAGAATTTGGGACAGCTGTGTCCTGAGGCCCCAGTCACCCATGATTAATGAATTACCTGTCATGTAAGTCTGTCCACCTCAGAGAATAGTTTCCCTGTCAAGTCCACTAGCTCTTTTTGAAGTCTCCATAAACGGTCACCGATGATTTAGAAGTATTGGGGGGAAACGCCAATTAATGAGACTCCAACTCATTAAAAGAAACTAAAAAATGAAATGAAAAGGGTTTTTGAGTGAATATCAGCACGAAAGCTACAGTATACATGCCTTATGTTTTATTTTTGAAAGGTTATGATTTATTGCCAAGGTACAGAAAACATGAGGATGTAACAGCATCAGACATTTTTTGACAGCTTCTTTGAACTTTATGAAGTAGTTTTAAGTTCCCCCAGAAAGGTCTTAAAATAATTTCAAAGTACTATTGGAACTTACTGGAGCCCCTCTGGTGCTGAAAATAATGCTAATCTTAGCCTTAGCCCTAACGTAACCCCTAACCTAAAACCTCAAGCCCTATCCTTAGGCTTCACCCTGATGCCAGGGAAGGAAAGACCTTTTCGGATCACTTTTTTCACTCTTGTACATGAATTGCTGCAAGTGGTGACATTGACTTCCATGCTGACTCATTTTGGTTTCAGTTCTTCAGGGTTGGAAAATGCAGTGCGTTAAGTGTTTTCAGGCGTCTTAACAATGCAGTGTTTCTTTTCCTCCTTTGCCATCTTTAAGTGTTCTTCCTGAAACAGGATTTTATAGAGCCATCATACTTTCATTTCCAGTTATCAAAAACTGTCTCCTCTTGAAGAGACTGCGTTATTTTAAAATATTGATCGGTAACTTGATTTGTAGCAATCACGGACAGGTACTACACATATCCTGAAATACTTTCCATCATTCATTTGCACTACCATTTAGCAACAAATAGGATAGCAAGAAGAGTAAAATAGAATGAGGACGTTACTGGATTCTTTATTTTCCTGATGCTTCAAAAAAAGCACAATTGTGTTTCATATAGAATTGCATCATAATATCATTTGGCTTTTGTATTGTTAAACTTCAAATTGGCAGCCCAGTGGTTTTCAGTTGTTAGGGTGGTGTAGGGCTGATGGGGCTGAACAGACCTTGCCAGGGGCTGTTTGTTATTCTATTCAAGCGACAGAAAGCTACTGACTGCTAACATCTGACATCCCACTCCCTCTTCTGTGGAACAGCTTTGTACGACGGTTGTCTCTGGCCAGCTCGTGAGTCGGTCAGACAGCAGTATTGAAAACTCCTTGTTTTATTGACTTAGTTTCTTTGGGCATACTTCTTTGTGATTAATTGGCAACCGCAGATGTTCCCGAAAAAATGTTAAAGTACTGTACAGACTTGAAAGAATCGAGGGCAGGTGTTGAAAACATTTCTTATTACCAAATAAGTTTGTGAGCAGATTTGTTTGGCTTTCTTCAGCGCCAAAAATTCCCCAGAAACGAACAGGTAGCATTTTCACTGAATGATCGTTTAATATGTATAAAAGCAGAAATTGCAAGCTTTTAGCATTACATCTCACAGGATAGACTTTCAAATACGGCAAGTGTGGCTTCAATTATTGCAGAAAAATTCCAGAACATTTGACAGTTTGTGGAATTGGGTTAATTACCTACCCCCCCACCTTCCAGAAGGGCTAGAAAGAGGATTTCTTCACAAAGGTGCCTTGTAACAACCAAAAGACCATTAATGTGTTTCGCCATACTAGTTATTAAAATTAATGTGCGTTTGCATTGATTGAGATACTGGTCAAGTCTAGTTTTCAAGACCTCGAGTTTCGCCTTGTTATATTTGTTGTTTGTCTAAGTGAAGACGGGCTTAATGTGTATAGTTAATAATATTAGGCCTGAATTCCTCTGTAAGAGGAAGAGAGAATATTGTGTCCTTCAGTTTAAATAGGTATTCTTCGTATTGTTACTATTAAAGCTTGTGAAAATTTCAGTGATTTTTTTTTCCCCTGTAATTACAGATTGTATCATACAATAAGCCAGATTCCTGAGAAAGTAAAAGGCATTTTGAAGTCAGGTTTAGTCTGAACAAAAAGCCACACTCTGTAATGAAACATTTTTTCAAATTGCCAAATAAAACAGTTCAGTTCCCCAAAATGTTTGTAATGGGACACTTGACAAAACAAGTTGGCACAGTTAAGAACGTTAAGCACGTTCTGCGATACAGAAGCACAGCCACACATTTTGCAAACTGTGAGGAAGAAGACAAATTATTTTGTTTGAAGATAGGGATTTTCCAGACCCATTGTTTTCAAGGACCCAATAAAAGAAAAGTGTTTTCCATGGATGCAAATAACTTTTTTTCAGCTTTTCAAAAGATCATTTTTGACCACTGCACTTTTTTTTAAAACGACATATTCTTCCATTGGCATGAAGGCAGGTAGTTGGTGCAATGGCATTCAAATATTTAGTAACACCTGACAACAAGACGCCTACAAATAATCGCACACAGAAGAAGGTTTGTTTCTCTCCATTGTTGGTTGAAGAGACAGAGTAGCAGCTGAGGCGAGAAGGAAATAAGCCGGCTTTGGACAGAACTAGATATTCACGGCCTTTGCGATGGGATATCTGTGCCTTGGCTTGCCAGGGACACCAGCTCGTGATCTTGGCCGCTGATCGCAGGGGGCCCCGCTGAAGCGAAAGGGTTTTCTATGATGGTAGCCAGCTGGGCATCCTCACCATTGTGGCCGCGGCCATGCAGCCTGGACTGGTCTTGCTCAGCCTCGTCGGCGGGCTGGGGCAGGCCTGGGTGGGCACAGCTCCGTTCGGGGTGGTCCTGACGCTTGCGACACCAGGTGTGCAGGCAGCCGTACAGGAGGATGCCGGCGATGATGAGGAGGAGGATGCTGCTGGCCAGCCAGATCCCCATGGCCAGCTCCTTCCTCCCACTGCCCGCCGCCGTGCTGTCCTGCCCCAGCGTGTTGAAGATCCTGCACTGGTCGCTGGAGGGGTTGGCCGACTGGCAGGTCACGCACAGGATGTAGGTGGTCTGCGGGCTCAGGTTGCCCAAGCTCGTGGAGGTCTGGCCAGCCGGGACTCGGTCCTCCTTCAAGAAGTTCTTTTTGGAGTAGCCCGTAAGGAGGCTGTTCCAGTTGGGGTGGTACATGACGCTGTAGAAGCTGTCTATGCAGCTTGGGAAAGCTGGCCAGGTCACTGTGGCCGAGGTGGATGTGATGTTTTGAATTGCGATTCCCATCTTTCCCTGCTTTGTCAGCGTAGGTCTTGAAGGTAAAGTTTAAAAAAGTCTTCCGTTGCCAAGGGATTCAGTGCTTTTACCCATTTTCTGTAAATAACAATAAGCATTAGGACTGGAAGCAAGAAAAGGGTTTGCCTAAAGGCTTGATTTTAAACTAATGTCCCCCCAGTTGTCTGTATGTAACGCCAACAATAAGTGTGTATAACATCTTGTTTGAAATATTATTGCTTGTTGCACTATTTAAGGTTCTTTCATAAAGGGCATTTCAGCAGCTCTGTTATTGACATAACCCTTTTGGAAAGATAAGAGCAGGCAGGTTATCTGAATGAAAAGGAATTTAAAGCTGTTAATAGCTAAATACCTCTTAGTGGCAAACCATCTGTGTGAGAGGCATTTGTTGGACATAATGTCATCAAGGTTTTTTTTTTAATGTAGAGAAACTTAAAATTATTTTAATTCATTATAAACAATTTAAACCCTGATAAAAAATGCTGTGCCTGAAATAGGCCTAACATTAATCTGTAGCGCCCTTTGTTCGTGTTCCTTTTATCCTGAGTGCAGCTGTAGGTGATTGTTCTCTTTCCTGTCACAGTGAATACCTGTTGTCTTTGAGGTGCCTTCAAGTCCTGTAGGTTCCCCACTCATTACTCCAAGAGCCTTTTCAACTCTGTAAAAGCCTGGTTTTCCATTTGCAGGCTACCTGCAATTTGTCAAGGCTGCAGCATTGTCTGCAACATTTATTTTACCATAAATGCTGCCATGTTTTGATGTGGCATTGATTTAATCTAATTTTTAAATCCTTTCACAAATCACTCATTTTTGTCTCGGTATGTCAGTTCTTTCTCTTGCTTCTTGTGTCACAGAAACGTTTTAGGAAAAACATGATATGGACTGATTGTACCTTTCTTTAAATCCATTCTACAATAATACTGCAGCATGCTGAGAGACGTTTTATGTAAAGATGCATCACATGCTCAGTGAAAGACTTTCAGTTCAGTGATAAAATGGTTTCCTTACAGGACATTGAAATCCACAATGATTTCAATTTATAAGGCTGTATAAATAATTTCACCGAGTGCCACCAGATAGTTAGTGGGATGGGAATGTGTTGGCCAGGGATTCCTAAACTTTCCAGGCCTTGCAGCTGCTGGGAGCCCTTTGCTGAGGACAGGAACTGAAACAAAAGGGGGAAGCAAGGCTTTTTAAACCACCTACACGCTGATGGAGATCACTTTGCACTCGCTTGTCCTGTTCTTTACTTATTCCTCTTCACTGTTCTTGGAGGAATGCTAACTCCTCTCCCGTGCTAACAGCAAGGTCAGTCACAAGAACTCTCCAGGATTATTGTCTGTTCCAGAGGATTTATGCTCAGAAACCTGACCTCAATTTTGAAGAGTTCAAGTTTTCTCACTTGACCTCTTTTATTGTCAACACTGCTAATTTCGCAAACCTCCTCAAGAGTGTTAACATTTGGTGGTGGGGAAATGTTAGGTGGCAGTCTGTTGATAGGAGAGTAGCATTCGTTTGCAGACTAGTGGAATTTTTGTGCTTTTTATCGTGTGAGATTTCCATTCCAGGAGCCAGTATTAGCTATTTGTTTAAAACCCTTTCTACTTGAACGACAGTTGACATTCTTGCACTTTAATTTATTATTGTATTAGGTAACATTTTCATGTAAAAACTAGTGTTCTACAGTGCCTTAATGTATTCAGACCCTCCCCATGGTGTTGCATTTTGAAAAATTAAAGGGGGAGGAATACACATTTATAAACGTGTTTTATTAAAAAAATTACCACACCAAGAGATGTCTCGGTAAGTTATAGTAAAAGCCAGCAAAAACTAAAAGTGAAAGCCCTAAAGGAAAATGATTGCATAAGTATTCAGACCTGTGCAATCAATATTTGACAGCAATTACAGCAGCAAGTCTTTTTGCATTGGTTTTAACGAACTTTGTACTCCAGCTTGGTGCAGTTTTAGCTCATTCTTCTTGGCCGAGTTGCTCCAGCTCTCTCGGGTTCCTTGGTGATCACTTGTGAGAACAGTGTTAAACTCTTTCCACAGTGTCTCAGTGGGACCCAGGTCAGGACTTTGATTAGGCCATTTAAATACATTTGGATTCGTAAGCCACTCCAATGTAGCTTTAGCCTTGTGCTTTGTCCTGTCAAGAGGTGAGTTTCAGCTTTTATGTATATTATGCAGTTAGGAGTATTATGTATATACCTGGAGCAGCCAGTCGTTCGATTTCAGAATTTACTTGATATTGCTTATTAATATACTACATTAATATGGGTGATTACAAATGCCTGATTAATTAGTATTTTAGAGTTTCTTTAGTTCTTAAAATTAGTTTTCTGGATAAATAGTCATATTCCTGTAATTCATGTAATCTAGTTATTAGTTTTCCATAGCTCTAACACTCAGCACTAAAAATACCTTTTAAAATGTCATTTATGGTTTTGCTTTTTTTACAGTTTATTTTATATTCAATTGAAATTCAGCCATTCTATCACTTAGATTTTTAGGTTTTTGTTTTGGTGCAATCTGTTATTTTTCAGATTCCCTGATTTAAGTGAAAACAAAAGAAAAAGCTTAAGACTATCAATCCGGTGTGGTAAAATGGCCTTCAAGCTGTTTAGAATGTATTTTCCATTATTTAAATCTTAAAATGTATTTTAAAAGACGGTTCTGAATAACTGGAGATCTTTTACAGCAGGAAACGGTAACCCTTGTAATGAACGAGTTGGAGTCGGAAAGGAGCTACGCTCCATTTTTCAACTAGACAAAAACTGATTTTTGTTAAAAAAAATGTCTTCTCCCTAAGCCCCCTTTTAGCTTCATTATTTTGAAGGAAATCCTTCAAAGCAGCCAAAAAGAACCATATTCCTTAAAAAAAATCCAGTCTTACAAAGACTTTTTTGCTCCCTGATTTTACATTTGCTTTTTAACAGCGAGCCGTTTGATACAAGGTGTGTATTTACAGCCTCTTCTCCTCTCAGCGCGCCTGGCTGACAGTGTGGGCTTCTGCCGGTTTTCTAAGTTTTACTGAAGAGACCTGCATCTGTAGTTAAAATCATGCCCGGAGGGAATTGTAAAGCGTGTAGACTTACGTGCTGTCACAGAGGGGAAAGGAGGCAAGCTGGTTAGCACAAGAAACCGTGCGTCTTCAGCAGAGAGGTCGTCCTGATGCTGCCTACTGCTGCTCTCAAGGAGTTCATTTGCCGAGTTGATTTTTCTTCACGGCCAGCAGCTGCCAGTCACTTCCCCACCCGCTGCCTCTGTTAGAGAGGGATCCCGCCTGTCGTCTTTGCTCCCACCTTTCCAGTGCCTGAAAGGGGGGGCTGGCAGCCTGAACGGTCTTTTGTCCCCTCGTGTCGCGGCGCTCCGTCGCTCTGTAGCATCTGCCTCCAGGAGCAGCAGCGCCTGCAAGTCCTGCCTCGTTGCTCGGCAAAGATGAAAGGCCAGCAATAAAGGAGAAGCGCCGGCGCTGGCGGGAGCACGCGGAGACGGCCGAGAGCCCTCCCGCTGGCTTTTGTTCTGCGGTACGAGCCCGTCTGTCTCGCGCGGTGCAGGACCCGGCCCGCCAAGAGCATGAAAACCAGGCGCTCGCAGCCCCTTCTCTTCAGCTGTGACGAGCACAGGCAGACAAGTGTCCTCCTCCATGAGCCTGAGCCCGCAGAGTGGTCGTGGAGGAGTGTATTCCATATGTCCATGAACACTGGAATTCTTATTCGCCCTGATCTCCCGGGACGTGCACAGTACAACAGGCAGCACCACACAGTGCAGGCAGTGCATTACAAACATAAGAAATAGTCACAGCAGGAACAATGGAGATGTGGGGCATCGATTCTGAGGCATTGCAGTTAGCTGTTGAGGATGCACACTGCAGTAGGGTAGCAGCTGTTCTTGAGTCTAGTGGTCCGTGCTTTAACAGTGTGGTACTGCTTTGCCAGAGCACAGGGGGGAGAACAATTTGTAGTTGGGATCCTGAGGATAAGGGACCGTTATTTTTTTTTTTTGTGCTCTTGTCATCTTTACCAACTCTCCTTTCTCTCAAATCTTTCCTTTAAAGCCGAGTGAAATGAGACCCATTTCACTCGGCTTTAAAGGAAAGATTGGAGTTTCACAGTGTCTGTTTCTTGACCAGAAACGTTGCTGGTCTGTGATTTTGCAAAGAAATTCTATTGCCACTAATGCAATGACTTCAATTCTGGTTATGCGTTTTAAATGTTTTCATCTAATTGGGAAATCCAGTTTATTGTTGTACCTAGATAAATATCCATTACTGTCTCTTAAGAATGACTTGTGCACGTCCTGTATGTGTGAGTGCACTTCTGTGAAAAAACGTTTCAAATGGCTGCAGTACCCTGTACATTTGTCGTCGGAAAGTTGACCTAAAATAACCTTTATTAATGTGGATAATGTCAGGTAGTACCACCATTGCAGATGTCCCTGTAGACACAAACAGCTTTACCTTTGTACTGAACAGAGGTACTGTAGCTTTTGACCATAAAGCTTAAAAAAAATAAAGCAAATACAAACTATGTAACCAAAACCCAAAGAAACAAGAATTATTGTGGTAAAAATTAAACAAAGGAGCAGAGTGGAGAAATATTACTTAAAGAAAGAAGTTGTAGCAAATGCTACAACTACTGTAAATGTTGTAGAAAAGCATGGCAATACATAGTAAGCAGACTATCTTGTCACAACAAAATGTATTTATGCTTCTTTAAGTCGCACAGCTTTGTGACATTTGCTAGATCACAGAGTTTAAGAAGGGTTAACTAAGGTACAGTTCCATAAAAAAGACTGCCCCCCTTTCAGGTTTTCTGAATTGTGTGTTTTTGCCACTGAATGTTATCAGAGCTTTATGTGGGTCTTTGTGATATATAAAGGGAGTCCGAGTACAAGTTTGAGTTTGTTTAAATATAATATTGTTTGGTGCTTGTTTAATGTATTTCACAAACTGTCATCCAGTGTCCCTGTGTAAAAAGAGGCTAGGATGAATGATACCCCAGTACATGTAACTTGTTAGACATAATACGATTATGATATTAACCTGCTATGCTTAAGATGTACTATGAAACTGATAGGTTCCAAATTAGTTATTTGGGAAGTCAAATGGTATATAATAGCTATTACAGTATATAAATGTTAATTTGTTGTGTTGCTTGATGAAAAGGGTTTTCTTGAGCTGCAAATCACTACAAATTACTGAAAGAGAAGATTGTGTTTTTTCTAAAAACTCTTTGAGTGTACTCTTTATGAAGAAATGCTATTGCCTTCCTTTTGGGATTAAATAAAGTTTGGTGTTTACCAAGGCCAAGTGCTTTATATAAATCCGTTGGATGAACACTTTTTTTATTTTATTTTGCACAGGCGCTGAATCTGGCATACAGCAGTATCTTTGGATTCTACAGGAACTTTGTGGGGCCTCCTCATTTCAAGGCTATCTGCAGGCTCCTGGGTTACCAAGGTATTGCCGTGGTGATGGAGGAGCTGCTGAAGGTGGTCAAGAGTCTGGTAAGTGGAAATAACTGTCAACACCTTTCTTTTGTCAGCCAGAAATGTGGGTGTTGCTGAGGAAAAATCTTTAATTTAGAGCGCATTAATTTGCCGTTATAGCTGCATCCTACTAAAGAGAAATGTCCAGCTCTTGGTTTAGTGTGAGTACCTGCAGTTGCAGATGAAGCAGTACATTAGTTTGAAGTACTGCTGTACTGTGTAATGTCAGTTTAAGCCTTTGGCCACTTGCTTCTTTTGCTCCAGTTATAATGCTGCTGGAGAAACCTTAGAACATATCTGAAACACTTGACATTTAAAAGAAAGACCTCAAAGAAATCTGTTTTTTAGTAATGAATTCAAAGAAAGAATTAATCAAAGGACTTGATTTGACGCATCATGGTAGATTTAAATTTTAAATTTCCTCTAAAAATCATTTTTATGTTTTCATTATTGTAGTGTCCCTGTAACATGTTCATCGTATAGTGTGAGTACAGATTCCGTCTTGGCTTGTAGTCACACTATATACTGATATAGCTCTAGTATCATTCTTTATTCTTTGTGTTCATATTACTTTTTGAAGAATGTGACAATGGCATTTTTTTGTCCTCTGGGGCTGTTCAATTCTTACTATTTGCTGTAAAACTGAAAATTTATTGGATGCAGTAACCTTTGGGTTTCACAGAAAAGTCGACATGAAGATGATTGTCCTTGTTTTGTGATTATATAATTCTATAATGATCTCTAGTCAAGAGCCACGTGTGTGAATGTGTTAAGTTTAGATAAGTAAACCTTGTTACTCATATCTTTATATAAGTACTCAGTCTGACAGAATCTACAGTTTCGGGGGAAATATCTCAGTTGCCTTAATCATGGCTCTTGAATGAAGCATCAGGGTGCTTACAGCTCGTATTTAGTGCAGCAGCAGACAAAACCAGTGTGTTTGCTGTGCTCTGAAGCAGCGATTCCACACGATTGTGATTGAACCATGTCCGTTTACCAGTTTCTCTTCTCTCCCTCACAGCTACAGGGAACCATCCTGCAGTACGTGAAGACCCTGATGGAAGTCATGCCTAAGATCTGCCGCCTCCCTCGCCACGAGTATGGCTCCCCAGGTCAGTCGGTGTTCGCGCCACGCTGGGCAGTGCCGGCGCACACTGTAGGGAGCCAGGTCTGCTGCGTGCAGCCGGGAGGTCAATGGCATTGATGTGTAGCGCCACACATTCATTCATGGCTTCTCTACTGCTTCTTCACCATAGTAGTTATCACTCTTTTTTTTTTCAGTGCTCTGACTTAAACGGATTTTCCTTCTGGCTGCGAACTTTAAAAAAAACTTCTGTTACATGTGGCTCCATTGCATCTACCAACTGCTCTGAATGGTGTGTGTGAGGCTGGTGGCAATACAGGGCTGGGTGGGAATCTGGATTATCAGCAAGATCTCTGCCTGATGTCTAGTTTTTGCCCAAAGGTGGTTGCTACTCCTAATCTGTTCGACAAGGTGGTCTTTCATACAGTTGGAAAAGGGTGTGTGTGTGTGTCCATGAAAACGTTTACACATCTATTAAAGTGGGAGACCGAAGGCAATGCCATGGAGAGCCAGCAAAGGTCCCTCTTAATCTCATCTACATCTTAACTACAATTGTTAATTTCTAACAAAAAGCTTAGATGTTTTAAAGGAGAGGCTTTCTAATCTATTTCACATGCTTTTGTAGGTACATTTTTAAATCATACTGCGCAGTCTTATTTCTTTGTTTCTATGCTCATCCATGTTTCCATTGTTTGCAAATTTAGTGCATTAGCAAACAGCACAAGTACGCTATCAAACTGTTTTTATAAAATAATTACCAGCTTCTATAGTTTGAGCTTAATATAGCATTGTTCTGACGTCACAGCTTTTGTAGTAGGAGTAGAAAACAGGCTTTGGCACACAGCCCGTGTCTGGACATTTGCACAGCCTGGTGCCTGCAAATTGACTGCCAGGTTCTTTTTCATCAATCAGCAACTGCACATTCACCTTATACTTTTAAAAGTACGATTTTAAAATGGAAAATGAAAACTTAAGACCGTGGAGTGCAGCAATAAAATATTTAAAATATTGATGCACAATTGCGGTATCTACAATAGGAATTAACAATAATTGAGGATTCATTCACATACATCTTTTAGATTTTCTCGCTAGATCCCTTCTCATTTCGTTAATTAAGGCTCATTGTAATGGCACCTACAAACATAACTTGTTCGACTAGACCAATTTGTTTTCATTTTCTATATCTGTAACTGGCCTTTTTATTCTCTGAATTTAAAGTCACAAACTACTGATCATTTTGCTCACAGCTACAAACCGGTACCTGTAGAGGGAAAACAAGTAACGTCCACTGCTGTCATGGACTGCACTGCTCAGGACTCGGACCAGCCTATTGGCACATGAGCAAAGTCCACTGCTGTGTGTGGAATCACAGTCACAGCCACTTTTAAATAAAAAACTGAACAAATTACTTTATTGCAAAGTAATAAAAGCAAGATGAAGAAATAAAATGCAGTGTGTACATTTCAGATCGATACATGGGGTTTTTTTTGGCCAGCGGTGTGGTCCAAACTTGAGCTCATGATGTGGATTAGAGCATTCATCCTGTGCCTGGGCCCAGCACTTCTATTGGGCTCCTCTGGAGTCCCAGGTGCTTCATTTTTAAGTGAAGCATGTCGTTTTCTCTACAAGCCCAGGCCTCTCAGGCTTGTGTGTAGGTTCGGTGGCAGCTGTTATTTCCATACGCTATTAACAACCTACTTGACTGTTCCATCTCTATTAAAGGCTGAAGATCTTTAGTAACCAAATACTGCCTGTGTATGTCATGTGCACTTCGCTTTGGAGTGTGGCCCTTGTTAACTGGATTGCAGCTCTGCAGAGTGACAGGCATGCAAGCACATTACTCCCCTGATTGCAGGTGCTCCTGATAAGTGGGAAGGGGGGAGAGAAGAAAGGTTCTGTCAACAGGATGTGCATATTATAAAATGGATCAGCTGAGCCTGAAAGTATTTTGGTCGGAAGGCAAGAATGGTGTTAAAATTTTTCTCGTAATTGCTTTGAACGCTTGAATGACTGCGTTCTTAGTGACAGATCTTTTTCTGAGGCTGGATGTGAATAACAAGTCGCACTGCGAGTCTCAGAGATCCCTCTAAGGTACTTCTCTGATAACTGCTCGAATTGAAAGTAGTTTCTGTTCTGCGGGGCTGGGCTGCTGCAGCTACAGCTCATTGCACACATTTGTGAGTTTAGCCTATCTGTATTGCTGTTGATCTCTGCTATTTGGATTCGTTTCCTACCTCCAAGTGTTGGGTATTAATACAACTGACTACTTTTTCTAAAACATGCTGTCACATACCTTGAGAAATAAAAAAGATCATGAGCAGATGCTGGTGGTATTTTCTGCTTTCTGTGTATTGTCGTTCTATTTAAAATTAGTAAAATAAAGTTGCTGCTATCTCTACTCTAACTGACAAGTTTGTGGAGTTAGATATTTAGCAGTCTGTGACTGCAACGATGCTAGCCGTAGCACCGTGACACCTGAATGTAAAATCCAAGGTGGACAAGTACACCCTACAAAAGATAATGGCAGGGGAGCATATTAGGGTGACTTTTGGATTAAAGCGAAAACCATTCTTCACATAAAAGGCCCAATGAAATTGTCAGCTATTGTCAGTTCTATGTAGAATGAAAGAAGCGTCAGTCCTTGAAAGATGAATGAGTAAACACAGTGATAATGGTTGCATTGATTAAATTTAACAGCCAAACATAGCACATCTTTCACTGAACTTTAAGTGACATTGGTTTGTTTTCCTGAGAAGCACTCATTCTATTTTTTTCACAGTTTTAATACACTACTGCAACTGGTCACCGCACTCGTTTTCCGATTTTGTTCGTTTTTGTCTTTTCAGGCCAAGCAAAACAGGATTATGTTACGTTGTTCCAGATGAGAATTTAATTGCTGAATTGTTTGTGATGCCACTGGATGCAGTAACCCCTTGAGTAAATCAATAGCCATAGACATCACTTGCTAACAACCCCTACGCTCATGTCTGTAAATTGTAGTAATTGATTGACTCATTGAGATGATAGGTGCCACAGTTGGGTGGTGATAAGTGGATTGTGAAGAGACTGCATTGGGAATGAAGGACTGAAACACAGGTTAGAAAATTAGTTAAAAAACCTGGGATTAGCAATCAAGTTACTTTTCTTGTTACTGAGAACTGCTAAGTACTTATGATTAACCCAAGCACTCATAAGGCTGAAGAGTCTGTGTATCTGCTTTCTGGTCACCCTCCTCTCCTGTTCATTCCCAGGCATCCTGGAGTTCTTCCATCACCAGCTGAAAGACATAGTGGAGTATGCTGAGCTGAAGACTGTGTGTTTCCAGAACCTCCGAGAAGTGGGCAACGCTGTCCTCTTCTGTCTCCTCATCGAACAGAGCCTGGTACGTCTTCCTTGTTGCTCTTCTTCCAAATGGGAACTTTGCTCTGAAACCCCCCCCCCCCAGAAACCTCCTTCTAATATTCTCCCATGACTAACTGCATCACTGCTTCACATGGAGGTGAAATGTGATTTTTTTCCTCACCTTCAGTTTTGGAGTCCTGAAATCCACAGTAATTTGGATCCAGTAATGGTGACCACTATATGTGCTGGTTTTGTGGGTATTTTGTGGGCATTTCTGGTCCGGGATGTCTCTGTTCAAAGCACCAACACTTGAAAAGCTGAATAGGGAGAAGGTGTTTTCATTGGTCCTGTTGAGCCAGTAATGAGTTGAGTTAGGTTAAGAGCTGACTTGGAATGAAAACTCTTCAGACGCACATCTAATTATTTTTGGTAATATACTGAAAATTAAGCAGCGTTCGTACTGTACCTATTGTGTTAAAATGTATTATAAATGTAAATAATGCATTCCCCCCAAAATATATTATGTGAATTACAAGATTTGCATCTATATTACTATATTTACAGTAGTCCACAAGGTGAATAGATTGTGTAGTTTAACATTCTTAATATGTTGCAACAACTTTAAAATGCACCTAATCTTTTATTTTTAGTGCCCATTAGTATTTTAATACCATATGAAATCGAGCACACTTTCAGGATTTGTGTTACAACAGGCCTGTTCACACGTTTTGTTTTTCTTTGATTGTCAACTCTAGTGACCACATTGGGTTATGTTGACATTTTTCCTTGGCCCTGGCGTGTTTCTTGGCATATAAATGCCGCATTGCCCGGGCCTTCCTCCTGAACAGCTCACCTGCTCCCCGACAAGGACGCATTATTTTATCATCCAGCCAGTCATGCCTGCCAAATGCCGGTTGCCAGGGCAACACACCCATCTCTTTTTCTTTTGCAGCATTTTCGTTTTTATAGCTGGGGCTGTTGAATTAGTGCCAGTTTATTGCCTTTTGTATGACCGTTTTACACAAAAGCTCCAGCCTGAGAATTCTGTGTATTTAATCACACACTCTTGTTGTTTATTTTCCTCTGGTTTGTAACATTGCTCTAATTTCAGTTTCCTGTGGTGTTGTCCTTGATGCTCTGTGCCTCAATTACGTTTTTAAGACCCTCTTGTAAATCAGGTTTCAGGATTTATGCCTCTGCCTTACCGGACCCACTCCACCAAACCCAATGTCTCCCTACTTTTTCAGTGCTTCTGCACAGACCTGTAATGTACAAGCTCACAGGGAGAGCTAATGAGGTGAAAAGGCCCAGACAAGCTTTCCTACCTGATTAACAGCAAGTGATGGATTAAGGACCTTATAGTCCTGACTGTCTTGAGGGTGGGTAGTATTGTGGTAGTGCTGTGTAAGATGTGAGGTTGGAGTGCCTTCTGCATACAGCCCTGCATTTTCTTGGGTTTCCTCTTGTCTTCCAGAGATGTAGCGATAGATTTTGGCTATACTAAGTTGCGTGTGGAATTAACATTATACGGAGTCGTTTCACATTCACATTATTGGGAGATTACTCTGCAGTCACTACAATTTCTGTAGTTTTAGTCTTCGTCAATTTGGGGAATTGTTTTATAAGGAATATAACATGTATGGAGCTATGGCCAAATCGGCTGAATGCCGGATTTTAATTAAATCGCTCTCCTTTGTTTATCATGACCTATTCTTCCGCTAATCTGTTATAACATATCTGGTAATTTTTCCATTTGTTTATTTGTCTCTTTTCTTTGGCATAAAAACCTTTACAGCTTTAAATACAGGGAATTATTTTGGAAGGTGTATAGATAAGATAACGTGTTTGTTGAAAATGAACACTGTTTAGTACAACAGCTGTCAGGTAGCATCGAAACATCCTCCGATCTTTTTAGATTGGGATCTGGTCTGAATAAAAAACATGCCATCACAGTCAGCCTGAATCCAGATTCGAAGGCGTTTGTATATTTGTTTCTCTCTTAGACTTGATCCAAAAAGTGACATTGAAGTGTAGGAATTTAATGAATCCTGATCTAAAATATTCTGGCATAGTGATTGCATAATCTATAAAAAGAACTTTATACATCCAAGATTATATAGGGCATCTGTAATATTGAAGGATACCTTCTTTCATACTTTTCTGTACATTTGAGTGTACATATCGAGTCTGTAACTGTATATATACAATGTTGTTAGCATATATATGTTTCCTATGGTGAAGCAGAATTCACTAAGCGCTGAGTTACTCACCCACTAATAGGGAATGTGAGTTGGGATTAGACCAGCGTGCGACAGGTTAGTTTTACTCTCCCTGTGCTCCTGCAGTAGTAATCCCGCTCAGTTCAGTGCTTAGCTGAGGAGCCTGTGCTGTGAAGAGACTGGCTGTGGGTTTATGACTGAGCACTTCTATGTCAGAATCCTCCCTGAAAGTTTGTAATTTTAAAGAGGTGTTAATTCTCACCTCCCTCCGATTAATGCGCCTGAATGAGTTACAGACTCAGGGGTTGATTGTAATTTATTGATAACTTGACAGTTTTATGAGTTTTCATTATAAAGGTAATACATACAGTGTAATCCTTTTGAAGCGCGGGCCTCATGTGTAAGTGGGTGATTAACATCTGGGAAAACTTGAAACGAGAAATGAAGGTTACAAATAGTATTCATTTTTAGAGCTGTTTTTTAGGACTGAGCTGCCCAGGTTGAGAGATAAATGCATGAAACATTGTCCTGCTTTTCTGATTTGGTTTTAGTTATAAAACCCTCTTTGACGTCTTTCCCAGTGACCAGTGACTCATCGTACATGGTGGTTTGCCTTGTTCCTCATGACTCAGCCAGCCGACTGATCACAGGCAGGAAGTGAGCCGTGTCCACCTGGACAGTGCGTCATTCTCCACTATGACCACTGTAAGCAGTGCCAAGAGCAAACCTCACAGGGCACATGTCCTTGTAACAGTCCGAGCTGAGGAGCTTAGGTTGGCTGTTCTCTCTCTAACGTGCTTGCCTAACTTCTGGGAAAAACAAAAGAGAAAATCCTGTCTCCTTGACATCTCACACCACATCTTCTCAATTTAATCCCACACTATAATAAAGCAAGTCAAGTTCATCCGACTCTGGTTTTAGCATCAAAGGAAGTGTGCTGACTACTCAGTCGTCTTAAGAAGCAGAGCTGCACTTTTGTTTCCCACCTTTCTGCAGAAACGCTTCCTGCGTTTCTCCTCCTTATACCTTAAGGATCAGTAAATTGGATCAGTAAATTTAACTTTGTGTTTTTGACTGATGTGAAAACCTGTGTCCTTTGCAGTACCATTTAAGTAAGATGTGCAGAAGGTAAATTAAGGGGATCTCTGAAATGTTTTCTGGAATCAACAGTATTTATGTTCAGATTCAGTGAACGTAGTTTAAATATTTTTTTACAGCAGTAAATGAACAGGTTCTGCCGAGTAACCAGTTGGAGTTGTTTTGTGACACTTCTTCTGGAAACATTTTAATTAGAAGTGCATCAGTGCCATCTTCTGTTGGTAAGGGATTTGCACAACTATTCCTGTTGGTTCCTTATCATAATTATGTTGAAATAGGGTCTCTATTTCTTGTTCTCTGTTATCAGGAAAGGAGTTCAGCCTCAGGCTTTTCTTTGTCAATTTGATGACAGATTGCGTTTTCACTAAGGGTAGAAACTAATTGAGGTCTGGCTCTTGAAGTGGTGTGTTTCATTGAGGGCAATTTGCGACAGCAGATCTGAAAGCAATCGTATTATACTGGGATAAGGTTATGCATCATCTACTCTATAGTTTCATTCCATTCTTTCTTTACAACAATTCCTTGCATTTGTATAGTACTTTTCATCACGGAGAATCCCGAAGTGCTTTCTGGATAGGAAGGGGACCATTTCAGCATCCTCCAGGGGAGACATCAGCGGCACCATTACAAAGCTGATCGGGCATAGTGGGGGAAAAACATCACCAGATGAATTAAATTCATCAGAATTTAATCGGGCCTCTCCTTTTGGAGAGGCCCGATTGTGGAATTTGGCCTGGAGAGATTAACTCTTACTTATAAACAGTGCCACAGAATCTTTAGTGGCTAAGGTTTGCCTTTCATCCAAAGGATGACACCTCCTGTGACGCAATGTATTGTCACCACAGTGGTGTACTGGTTTAGCAATTATATTCTTACACCGCTGCCAGTTTAAAAATGATTAGCAAACTTGAAACTTGCAATCGTGGTTCTGGAGATCTCCCTTGCTGTGGACAGTCCATTGCATTGCTGGACATGTTACTCTGTGAACTGTCCCAGCTCTGTGGTGGAGGAGTGCCAGTTTCCTGCACAGGCTCCTCACTTCCTTTCCTCTCTTCTCAGTCTCAGGAAGAAGTGTGTGACCTGCTGCATGCTGCTCCGTTCCAAAACATCCTTCCCAGGGTCCATGTGAAAGGTGACTCCTGCCTGCAGCCTGCATTAATCGCCACCGATATTAACAGCCACTGGCCTATAAAGCCTAAAAAATTGAGTTAAATTCTCTTATTCTGTAAAGGAAGAAAGCTTCCGTTTTCAGACCTACCTACTGTATTAAAAAGAGTATTTGTCCTTGTATACATAAAATTCAGCATATTGATGTAGGAGCTAAGAATAATTGTAATGTATATGTAGTATTTTACATATTGTTGGTTCCCCTTGCTGACGGTGCAGTAAGGACAGTGTTTGTTGCTTTTCATCAACGGACTTTGTTTTCTTTTTATAGAGGGTGAACGCCTGGATGCCAAGATGAAACGTCTGGAAACAAAATACACAGCATTGCATCTTGTTCCACTGATAGAACGCTTGGGAACCCCACAGGTAGGTTAGAGTTCATATTTAAGCATTTCTGCATTTTTCTTTAAAGAAACAAAAATCATAGTTTGCATATTAAATTTGTTGGCCCTTTTAATGTTAAATATCAGAATACCTGACACGAGTCGCTCTCACTTATCAGGGTACAAAATGTTGGTTTTGCCTCGGTGGCCTTAGTATTTGTATGTAGTGTTTTCTGCAGTTAGAATCTCTTTCCTTTTATCACGGCTTTCAAATAGCTCTGTTGACCAGGGTGTTGCAGTTAGAGACGTCTTTTCTGAGCTCTTAGGCTTTTTGATCAGTGAAGTATTTGTGTAGAGTACAGGTTATTGCTCTGACTTCACTTGTTTAAGCACAGCATACGTCTTTATCTGGCTGTGACTGGGATGCTCCAAGTGGGCATCACAGTTTCAGTGACAGGTGTCCCAGATGTCACTGGAGTCATGTGGGCTGCTCCACTACCTGCAATCCTGGGGCATTATTGAGTGATCTGACACTTTTTTCTAGTCAGTAATCTTTGGCATGTTAGGCACTGTGGAGCAACTCAGAGATGAGTTTATCAGAAGAGTAAATCACGTTCTTTACTGTATGGTATAGGTCTAATAACCTTTAAGCTGTGTTAATTAAAAAGTGGCAGTTCTGAGCTTTACTGGTATAAAAGAAAATATTTTTAAAATACACTCCCAGCTTCAGATATTGGGTGTGTTTCAAATCTTATTTTGGCCTTAATGTTTTTCACATTCATCTATGTTTTTGGGCTGATTTGGTTCTGCAAATACAGTCTTAGTATTAATACAGGCATCGGTATTGCCGCTGTGCTTCAACGTGGCTAGATCTTTGCCACAATGGTAACTTAAATGTTTTAGTCTTGGCTAAATTAGAGGAAAAACTAACAAAAAAATGTTAAACTTATAAAACTGCGATTCGTGCTGTAACGACCCATTTCCTCCTCCCGTCCAGCAAATCGCCATCGCCAGGGAAGGAGACCTGCTGACCAAGGAGAGGCTGTGCTGCGGCTTGTCCATGTTCGAGGTCATCCTGACCCGTGTTCGCAGCTTCCTGGATGACCTCATCTGGCGCGGGCCCCTGCCCAGCAACGGCGTGATGCACGTGGACGAGTGTGTGGAGTTCCACCGGCTCTGGAGCGCCATGCAGTTCGTGTACTGCATCCCCGTGGGCGCCCACGAGTTCACCGTCGAGTGAGTTACTCTCAGCTGTTACCTGAGGCTGCTCTCCAGCCATTGTGGCACATTACAAATCCCTCTTATTAAATTGGGATTCATTGTGCAAGCGTGAAGGATTGTGCTTTTCAAGAATCCTCACTGTTCTGTATAGTTGAAGTCCTTCAGTCGAGCTGCTCCGCGATGTGGAAGACCATCCACTTGCGGCGGCTCTGAAAGCCGAATCGGTTTCTCGCCATTAGGGAGACGAGCGTTGCGGGCTTGGTTAGCGCAAAACATCTGCCGTGTCCTTAAGGTGGCCTTGTTATTTGCAGGCAGTGCTTTGGGGATGGGCTGCACTGGGCTGGGTGTATGATCATCACTCTGCTAGGGCAGCAGAGGAGATTTGACATCCTGGATTTCTGTTACCACCTGCTGAAGGTGCAGAAGCACGATGGCAAGGATGAAGTCATCAAGAGTGTGGTAAGTGTTCGCTGGCTGGTGGTGGAAGCAGTGGTTCTGGGAGATAGACGTGTTTCAGTCTATAGCCCAGTCTTCTAGGATTCTTTAGCCTGAAGCATAAATACCCTCACAAGTCATTTTTCAGTTCAGGACCTGCTGTCAGGCTATAGGAGAGCTGTTAGGGCTGAGAGAGAGAGCTTGTGTGGTGACAGCTGGTTTTAGTAGACCAAACTTAAAATCAGTGAATTGACAAAGTAGGAACACCTTCACATTAATGCATGACTGACTTAAAATTCTCAATGAAGGTGCAGAGCACCTTCACTGCATTGTTAACAAGTGCTATACTTTTGTATTGACTTTGCTTATGGTTTAATGCGCTTTCTAAGAAAGCACACTGTGTCCCTGCATAGACTTGCACGTCTGAAACAACAGTAGGGGAAGGACCTCATTCATTGCCTGTTAATTCTGCTTCTCAGCCTCTGAAGAAAATGGTGGACAGGATCCGCAAGTTTCAGGTGCTGAACGACGAGATCTTTGCCATCCTAAACAAGTATCTGAAGTCTGGGGACGGGGAGAACACGCCAGTGGAGCATGTTCGCTGTTTCCAGCCGCCAATCCACCAGTCTCTGGCCAGCAACTGAGGTCTCCAACTTCAGTCGCCACTGCCATCTGCCTCCATTTGTCAGTTGACTGGCGATGAGTCCGGACATTGCAGCTTAATAGGAGCTGAAAACATAAGCCTGTCATTCTGGCCTTAAGTCGGGTATTTGGAGGAGGATTCTGTACACAAACGCTTGTGCCTTATTAAAGAAATAAATAAGAAACAGTAATGCTCATAGCCCATTCAAAATTGTCATATTTAGGCATTATAAAGAGTTTTTTGTATTGTGCAACCATACTTACTTTTAAGTGCTTTAGAAAGATATAAACAAATTTGTTTCCCCTTGTATCAGAACAAAAAAAAAAAGTCAGTGTCAGCAATTACAGTTGACAGAAATCAAAAATGTCACTACAGGGGATTCTTAACTCGGAGAAGATTTCACTTTTCGCGAGCGGGTCATGGCAGAAGTAGCACATTTCATGAATATTTTCTGACTTTTATACAATACGTTCAACAAAGAAGGTATTCACAATCTAAATAGCTGAGAAATAAGTATAACATTGCTGAACCTAAATCAAAATTTTACATTAGCTTTTACTATAGCCTGTTCCATAACTGTGAAATTGACAGACACTGGCAGATGGTGGTATTTCTGTTGCTTGCTCATTTGCAATTAAAAAAGGGGCTTTCTTTCAGTTCAGTTTCTGGAAGCTGAACCTCTGACACAGCAACTGGCGATGAAATACTCATACATTTTATCAGCACATGGGGAAACCACCAGCTCTTGCTCAGCTCTTTTTAAAGGTTCTGTCTTAATTTCATCATATCTGTTATTAATTGTTTCTTCAATTTTTAAGCATCGAAGACACTAATTTGTTGTTGGGGGTTTATTATCTGCAGTTAACCTTTTTGATTTGTGATTCTCAAGCTAAACGGCAATTGATCGAGGTTTTTCTGTGCAAATTTCACATGGGGTGCAATGTTCCCACCGTTCTGCTGGAAATTCATAACAAAATTAGTATTGTTATGAATTTCCAGCAGAGTATTGAATGCTTGATGCTTGTCAAACACCGACTTGAGCAGTCGCGCCGATGTATTTGTACCACGTTTGCTGGAATTTGAAGGACCTTTGTTTTACTGAAGGTTAGTCTTGGCATCCACCAGAGCCGAAAGAGGAGAAATTGCATGCCTTGGAGTTGTCCAAGCTGTGTTGTATATCGTGAAGGTCTGTCACCAGGCAAGGCTCCAGACAGCCTGGCTTTGCCATGCACTTGCTGGTCAAAGGTCTGTTTTTCTGAGTGTGAGAGGCTAAATCCAGATTATTCTGTTCCAATGTGGCAATAATGAAAGTTCCTGTTTTGAGTGTTAAGAAGTAAACCATTGCTACAGTATTGGCACTCGTTTATTGTAAGTGACAACAGATCAGACATAGGCAAGGAGACATCCAGTCATACTGACTTGTACATCAGAGTCATTCGTTCAAGACGGGCTTTTGTTTTTCCCATTTGGCATGTACAGTTAACAACTCTGCTTCTGCGTCTAATAAAATTGTTCAGAATGGATTAGAACCTCGACATTTAAAAGGTAGAAATGTGGTTTATTTTGCTTTTCAGGTGGAATTGACTGCATTGTATGCAGAGACTTTTTAGCAGCTTGTAAGATAGAGGCTTTCAATAAGTCAGTGTTTCTTAAAAAACCCAAATGGCTTGTCATCAAGATCTGGGCAATAATAAATGCAAGCGACTTCACATTTAAAGGCATCAGCTCTATATTTGTGTGCAAACCACATGTTAATTACACTTCTGACTCGGTTATTCGGGTTTCATCATCTAACAGTGACCTAGATAAATAGTTTATTAAGCAAAATTTGCCATTTGTCATTTTAAGAAGACCCATCATATATGTAAATTATCTACTAAAGGCCTATCTCCAATTCCAGAAATTAATATAACGTTTACCAAGTACCCTGAGGTCTGTTGTTTTATTTTGTAAAAAAAAAAAACAGTATTTCTTGAATATTTTTCTACTTTTAACAATGCATTCAATGACTTTTTCTACCTTTCTCAAGCAAATATCCAAGTAAATACATTTTGGTCCGAATTCAGAAAATATAAAATGCCACCTTTGTTCCTGCACTAGTTATTTTATACCTTATTTTATAAAAAAGGGGTAAGCTAAGAAGTCAAGGGGTTTTTATAACAGGGTGAATGGTAAAATGGTTAGTAGTGGTGAAGTGTGAGTAGTCAATCTCAAATAAAGTGCCTTTAGAAAATACTTTGGAATAGTACAATTGCATGCTAGGTTAAAAAAGGACTTGATCATATAACCTTAATCTGAATTACAGAACTAAACCAAGTTTACTCACTTGATTTTTTTTTTCCCTTTTAACTAGAAATTGCCTTTGTTTCTATTTGAATTGTTTTAACTGCATTTGAATTCAATAAAATAATGGTGATCTGAGCTTTTTATCCTGCTTTACGGTGTGATCCTTTAACTGTTTTCAGATCCAGTGAAATAGAGTGCAAACAGCAGTCGGTAATGTCTGCGTTTCCAGAGTTTCCACAAGTATTGCCTTCTGGGAGTGCAGGTTGGGCCCAGACCAGGGATTCTGGGTGACTGAGTGAAATTTCCCATGGGAAGTGTGCAGTATACTGAGCAAGATAGGATATTTCTGTGCTATTGCCTGTATTGTAAGAAGCCTGATGAGCCTTCTTGTGAACTTGAAAGTGTTAGCGTTTTCATAATCCATTGCTGGTCATACTGTTAGTTCCTTGACAGTAGTTGTAAATTGCTCTGAATTTCAATATATATAATAATAATAATACAATTTTATTAAATGATCTTTTAAAAAAAAAAGAGTGCCCTGTACTGCACACAATACACGACACAAGCAAAAGGAAGACAAACTGCAAACTAGCAAATTAAATCATGTTTAATTTATATATCATAAGCTTAGACAAAAACGTTAGTCTTCAAGATGATTTAAAAAAAATCATCTTTCACAGTTCACCGTTGCAGAGTGTCTGATGAATTTGGGGGATGAGTTAAAAAAAACACTCTTCCTGATGGTGTGGATCCTGATCTGTACCAGATAAGAGAGAATGATTCAGCAGACCTTAGGTTTAGATTTGGGCTACAATCATGTAAGATGTCCTTAAGATAATCTAGAGCTAAATCTTTCAGTGCCTAATACATGATACATGATATGACATGCACTTTAATGCTCAGGAGACTGGGAGGTACTGATGCAGTAGTCGTTAACATTCTGAAGAATGAGTTGTTTCGAGGATACTCTAGTATGTAAGGCATAAAATAGTCTAATCTTGATTAAATTAAGGCATGTTATCAATATTACAGATATATCAGGCAGAAGAGTGGTCTTTTCCCTTTTGTTATGTACAGTAAGTGGCTGGAAGATGCGCATGTAAAATGATCATACGTGGTCAAAAGTAACACCGATGTTTTCAAGATCCATCGAGGATTTGATTGCAGCACATTCAGCAACAACACTGAAGTCACCTGTTTTTTTTTTTTTAAGCTGAAGTTGTGAACCAAACGTCATAGCCTTTGCCATGCCGCAGAGAGCTGAGGTGAAATGGTGCAGGACATTAGTCTGTCCAGTGTCCACTCCCACCTTGGAGGGATGGATAGAATCACTCTGTCCCTAACAGGGGCAGGTTTCTTAACACAAACGGAAAAACAAATGAGAAGCAGCATCAGGTGATGCGTTTTGCCACCGCAGTGGAAAGGATAAAGCCTTTCAGATGAGATGTTAGACCGAGATCCCGACCACCTCATGAAAGATTCCATTCTGCTTTTTGTAAAAGCAGAAGTGTTAACCCCAGTGCCCAGGCCCCACTCATCCTGATGGGTTTGGACAGCCTGCCCTTCCTAAATTCCCTCTGTAATGGGTGTTGTAATTTCTTTGGGTATGCAGAACGACTGGCCTACCACCTCCTAGCCTTTGGGATGACAAAGACTATACAGTGCAAGGAGTTATTATGGGATGAACAAATTCTGCACCAGGTTTCAAAACTAAAGCTATGTTTCTTAATTTGAAGAGACTGATCTCCGATTTCAAAAGCTAAGAAGATTGTACCTGGTCAATACTGGGTTGCGAGACCTTAAAGGAAAACAAGGTTGGTGCTATAAATGGTGCTCATGGAACACTATTTGCCACTCTTCCCTCTAGGCCACAGTTGACAAACCAGCGCTCTAGTTTGGTGCTTGGGAACACCATGATGTAGAAGCTACCACAAAATGAGACGTTAAACCAAGCTGTTGACTACTTTGTTATTAAAGAACCCATAGCATTGTTTGTGAGAGTACGTAGGCGTGCCACCTGCAGTATCTGGGATAATTTCCATTTGGGGATTGCACAATCTGGCTGCTCTAACCTTCCCTGTTCAGCCTGAACTTAATTTCTCTAGCTTCCCCCCTGACCTTCCCTTGCTGTATAGAGACTAATGTGTCTCACAGGTGGGTACAGCACTGGTAAAGTGGGTCTCCTCCTACAGTATATATAAGGGCTTGGGTATCCTTTAAGTATGCAGAGAGCGGATTCAAGTTCACCTCAAGTTGGTAATGAACACTGGTGTTGCTAGCCACACTGACAAAACTATACCTCATTATCCCCACAGTGCCAGTGGTTGAAGCTCAACACCCACCCACCATGATCAATCAGCCCCACAAGAATAAATCTTATACCCAGAATTTCCCTGCACAGGGCATTGTGCAATAAAAACAATATCTGATTTCCCAGCTATTGCACAATACCTATACATGATTGATCCATATACAGTATACACGAAGTAAGGCTATTTGATGGCTCCACTCTAACTAGGTGATGACCAAGCAAATGTGACTATTTTCTGGCATATTTCTGGAAAATGCTACAAAAAGCAATTAAATTTCCCCTGCGCTATTGCCGTTACCACTTGGAAGTATTTTCACTACTGCCTTCGTTGTCAGTTGTTCAAACATTGTGATTGACTTGAGCAAGGTTCATACAATGGAAGAGCTATGCAGACATTTGGATTAATATTTAGTTGTCAGTGTCCTTATTTCCTACACCATCTCTGGACAAACTTCCAAAACATTTTAACTGCTCTACAGCACGAGGTTGCCGCCGTTAAGCTGTTCATCAAAAGTCTGCCTAGCTTGTTCCCTACTCTACGTACATTTCTAATAAACAAAACATTCACTATTTGTAGTACAAACATACACTGTTGCATTTGATTTCATTGACTCAAACAAGAACAATATTTTCAAACTTCTCTTCTCCATAATACTTGCTGTATTTGTTAGCTACAAAAAGTCAGCATGCTTTTTTCCCCAGAGTTAGATTTCCTTGAATATTCCTGCAACAAACCGTGATTGCAAACAGAAAAGAAGGCAATGAGAATGATTTCTACAGGCTTAGACTAGGACTGTAGTCAACTGTTCCAACCGTGCTGTGTTTTTGCTGATGAATATAATTCAGTATTCTGTTTTCGAAGGCCTTCTTAGTGAGGTCAGTGAAGGGGAAAATGAATTTATTGCTGTGCTACTAAGGATTTCAGAGATTTACATATGCATGAATCAATGGTGAAGACCATTGCCTACATAAATGTTAAAGCATTGCTATGTAATGCTCCAAACGTTATCAAAATGTTTAAAATATATCACAATAGTTAAGTCTAGCAATGCAAAAGTAGTATGATAAATATTCTTCGCAGATGTCTTATCCATTTGAAGAATACTCAGTGCTAATGAAAATAATCGTATTGGAATATGTGTTTAGCAAAAAACATTTGCAAGATACATCTCCAGTTATTACAAAGGTGCATGGACTTTCTCTGCATTACAATGTGATGTGGCTATGAGTTACTTTGATCTGTACGGTACCATAAGATGGCACCTTTCTTGTAAAAAAACTAAAGATTTTAATTCTGCAGACCAACTTAGAAACATATTTCCATTGTAACTTAATATTAACGAGTTACTGTCACAAATTCAGCTTCCACCTTTTTCAGCATGCTGAAATAGCATGCATCTTTTATGCAATAAACTCTACAATTAGAATATTTCCAAATGTTTTCTTTTCTTTTTCATAGGGTATGCATGTTTACTTTTAAATATTTTAACTATGTTAAGCAAAGAAGGCCAATAAAAACCCTACTTTTGGGGAAAAAGTAACATGTTCAGCAGTATTAAAGCTACAACAGTCATTCACTAAGGACTGGATTTATTATAAAGTTAAAGCAAATCCATAAGGAAATGGCTCTTTCAGTTGTAGAAATAAACTCAGTGCATGTAAATATCGGTACAGAAAGTACAGATGCAATTTAAAAACCGTATTTACAGTACAATGCCACATGGAAATATAATGAAACTTCAACCATGTAGCCATGTTAAATTACAAAATATGAATCTTGTGATAGATAAGGCAAATAAAAATCTCAATACAATCCATTGGTCCATCCAAGTCACACTTTAAAAAGATCCGATTGTATTTTCTATTTGTTGCTGATCACCCACAAAGCTTCCACCTGTGGAATTCAGAAGTTCCTGCCATCGGTGGCAACAATAAACCTTAACCCAGAATACAGTATTCATTCGCTGTCTGCTTCTTAATGGTTTTACAAGGCTCCCACGGTGCCATTTCTCCGGGAGACACTGTCAGTGGGAAGATCAGGGCCATCGTCTTGTACATGAACTGTAATGTCATTCTCCAGCAGTTCATAGGTGCTGTGAGTCACCATTCCATTGATACAACTGCCATCCCGAGTCTCCTTCTTCACGGACACAGGCAGGTTAGCCAGGCTAATGTTGACGTCCTTGAAGGCGTGGAGCAAAAAGATGCCTATGATGATGGTGATGAACCCGCTGATTGTGCCAATGATGTCATCAGAGCCCATGTGCTCCCACTCTTTGAAGAGAATGGCAGAACAGGACAGCACGGAGGTGGTGAAGAAAACGTAATAAATAGGAGTCACGAGGGAAGTGTTGAAGATATCCAGCGCCTTGTTCAGGTAATTGATCTGCGTGCTCACACAAGCTATAAGGCTCAGTAAAAAAATCCAAGACACAGGATTTCTCAAAACGGGCTTCCCTGCAAAAAGTTCTTTGATGGTGATGCCCAGGCCCTTCACGCATGACACAGACAGAGCTCCAATTACAGAGCAGATGGTTATATAGACGAGAATATTGGTTTGTCCATGACGAGGTCCCACAATACAAATGAAGATCAGTGCAACAATGACAACAAAGGTTGCAAACACCAGAAAGCCTGGAGAAGAGACAAGAAAAGCAATGAATGAATTGGTATTCCCTGAAAATGTTGTTCATCTATATAACAAGGACTAATAAAATTGAAATGAGCCTGTGCAGTGCGCTTAACATTCTGCAATATGTTTCATTTTACCTAGAATTAATGGGATATTATATAACATGTTAAGCCAAAAAAAATTACATTTGGAAAACAGATAAATTGGTGAAGCATTTTTCTTCTTTTCTGGTAAAATGGGGGTCTTTACCTGGATCTATCAGTTTTTCTGACATTTCCTCCAGGCTATTTATCTCTTCTTCTTGAGGTGCATGTATAACCATCACTGTCGACCCCAGAATACACAGCAAACATCCGATCTTCCCATGCAGATTCAATCGCTCATTCAGGAAGTATGAGGACAAGATGGCACTACAATTCATCATAACAAATAAACCAAAGGATTATTTTAGCAATCTAATGCTATATCCTGCACATAATCTATGAGTACAATCTGATAGGATGAATTAAATCATATTTACAACTGTTTTTATGATTACATGTGATCAGTCACCAGAGACTAGTATGTGTATGTTAAAGATTTCCTTTCACAAACCTACAAATACTTCCGTAATAATAATGACATTATTTGCATTAACATTTGCACAGGTTGCATTGTGTGTAGCTGGCAACAGGTTCATGGTTTAAACATCATAACATTCCTATCAGCAAAGAGGCTGTTTCAGCAGTCCTTAGGGGATACTGTTATTTCAAACCCTTTACAAAGTTGTACAAATAGGATGCAATTAAAAGAAGGGGATAATAAGCAATTTATCATCCACATTAAAAATGACTTACCTCACAAGAACACTTAGGGCTCCCAGGGGTGTGACTAGCGTAGCTGGAGCAAAAGCATAAGCAGCAAAATTGGCTGCTTCTCCAACACCCACTGCAATAACACACAAAGCCACAACACAACACCTCATTAACCAGCTAAAGCGTCAAATAAAAAGCCATTATAAGTGTAAGGCGATGTAAAGTCTTCCTACGTACTTCCAAGATTTTGCAAGGCACATATATCTTTAAAACTTTTCACATAACAAAGCTTTTTAGAAACTATGGCTCAAACAGAGGGAATACACTGAATCTGCTTGCTGAAAAAGAAAAGCCTGACCTTGCGTACTTACTTGATAGTAAACCAGCCCACCACAGCCACTCTTTGAGATATGCATGACCACCTTGACCTATAGAGCCAAGAATATACAGTAAGAATGTATAAGACACAATAAGAACAACTCTTATGCAAATATATACATATACTTGACCTCAAACTGACTCCAAAAGTTCACAAAACACTCAGTATATCCCGCCATCAGTTGAGGAACAGGTAAATACAGGTATCAAAAAAGGTATACATCATATAATCATATACAGTATACAGTGTACATAATGTGAAATGCATTTGTTCTGGGACAGCAAAAGTGCAGGATTTCAGCTTTTGTTTCTGGCTATTTGAGTACAAGTTTAGCCATGTTAGAAAACTGTTGTGTTTAATCCCACCATTTCAGGTGAACAGAAGTATTGGGACAAATGGCTGACAGCTGTTTCAAATGACTCCAGTGATCCGTGTTGGTTGCATTAACTGCAAGCACATAAAAGAGCTGTCAATAAGCAGCCTTGGTTCCAACCTTCGGAGCTTACTTTCTGGGTCTGCCTCTTGAGTTAGGAGGAACAAACCAAGATGGAGACCAGAGACTCGTCTGTGATGGAAAAGCAAGCAATGTCAAGGATTTGCCATGCATGCTAACTTCAAGAATGAGTGCACTGGCCTTTACTTATAAAGTAACTAATGGTGGCAGCAGCGGAATGAATTCTGCAGTGTACAGAAACACTGTTTGCCCGTGTCCAACGAAATAACCTCCGAACTCTTCGTGCTCCAGGGAGACAATTACCCAAAACACACTGCGCACGTAACCAGTGATGAACTCAAGAGCAAGAAGTGGAAACTGTCCAAGTCAGTCTCCCGAGCTGAATCCTATTGAACATGCATCTTATTTGGAGGAAATTTAAGCCAGCGAACCCCACCAACAATGGGAACGGTTTGTGTATTTCCCATTTTGCACTGAAAGTGGCTGAGTTAAGTTCAACAGCCTGGTGATGTCTATGGGTCGCAGACTTGCGCAGTCTCAATTAAAGGCAATATGTTTTATATACTTTAAGTTAATCCATCCCAAACTTATCAGAAGTCCATCAGAAATCGGGGGGATTGAACATAAGAACATTCGGTTCAAATATCGTTTAACATGTTTGCAAAAAATATTTAGATTTAAAAGCTGACATGGTATTCTTTTCCTGCTATTATCTTTTGATCCGAAATATACATTTCAATAGTATGCAGCAAAAGTGACAAATATTTCTTTACTGTCCCAATACTTATACGTTTCACTGTATTATACATACTGTATGTATGTGAAACTCGTCCATATTATAATTATTACACTGAAGCACAAAGGATTTGCCCTATTTTCCTTTAAAATCCTCACACTAGTCACCTAGAATGAATATCTGCATGAGGCCCTGTATGATGCACAGTGCCAGGCTATGAGAGGATTTTTGGATTATGCCTTTCCCATTTTGTACCGGTATTATGTTAGATACACTAAAATCACTGTGTAACCATACTATAACAGAAAAGGTTATGAATCTGTCTAAACATAGAGATTCTAATTCGCATGTGTCAGGAGGAACTGTATGCATGGATTGATGAGCAGCTTTTCTACTTTCCAAAAAAAAACCAGACCTTATCTGTAAAAAATGTATAATGCATGTACCAGAGAAGGTACTCAAGATCTACATTAATCTAAGAGGGGCTGTCATGGTGCAAGTAAAGACAAAGTTCTGTAACACGTCCCCTCTCAACAGGCTGAGAGCTACTCCGACTGTTACCACAATATATTCTCATAGAAGTCTACCTGGTCATACAAGCTATGAGGGCAAGCAAATACACAGTACCGCTGCTGATAAAAGCGTTAGGCCTAGCTATCCCCAGAACTGCAAGGCGGAAAAAAAACAACACAAAAAAACAAGGCAAGTTCCAGCACAAATGTATTGGCTAAGAAACTAAATTGGCTAAGAACTTCCCCGTCTTAGAAATTATTTTCATACCACTACTGTCTTGCAAAATATCCTGAAAATATAGGAAAGGCTATATTTACAACGGATAGAAAACTACAAACACGGATTAACATAATGTACCCCCACATCGCGACACATTGGGAGGGAGTTCAGTGGCAGGAAACAGAATGGAAACTTCAGAATTTGCATCCTCTCAGAAACGGGAAGCCAATAGAACAGGAGATGCCCAGGCCTTGCTCTTGTCTGAGCACACTCTTTTCACTGGTGAGCTGACCATGGTTCAGCTCCACTTACCTGCTCTCATGGAGCCCTTCTTTGCCAAGCAGAGGAGCCCTTTTTTCTTCAGGATGAAGCTGCCTCCAATGAAAATACTGGAGCTAACAGCCAAAACCAGCCCGACATAGAAGTCATATTTCCCCCTGTCCTGGCCCATTGTGATCGCAGAGGACTGGTTGGAGTTTGTTACATTGATGAGCCGACGGACGAGCTCCTGATTAGTGGGACAGGGGAGACCAACAACTGAATCTGTTGGAAGACAACACACGCCACGTTAGTCTGAAAAACAAACTAGAACCATTCTAACGTTAACTTTGGTAACAGGTCGTCCTATAACGTGTGTACACACTGCTGTACATTAGCGTGAAGTCATTTCGTTTTGGCATGTTCTTTTCGAAGATTTTCCTTTTTTTTTAATGCAGACACAAATAAATGGAGGTCATAAATGTGACATTTTGTTTCAACATAACAGTTAATCGGGACAGATGTGTATTTTTTAGTACAGATCCTAAACTTTTAGCTTCATACTGTAAATGTGCGGATTGACGATACTCAGATCGAAATGGGGACAAATAAGGAACTTGATGATGCTGTTTCTCAGAACTACACGTATTTTCCCTAATAACTTTTCTCCACACACAGCTTGGTCCCCATTTACTGTAGTCTGTAGTCAGTGCACAGGGTTTGAAAGTGGTGTGTGAACTCTTTCTGTATTCTATTCACACTTTAAACCGAGTCGTTACTGACTGGACCCAGGAGAGGTGCAGACTTGCCAAGCTGCACACCTTAATTCTTAATTCTAATCATGAGGCACCCACACTAATCTCATACCGTTCTGGCCCGTTAAATTTACAACTGCATAGCCTCGTCCTTCCTCAAAAGCCTGGAGTTCTGCATGCCTGCTCATGCTACACTTCAGCTCTTTACAGCTCTGCTGACTGTCCCCTGCCACTGAAGAGCAGGTCTGTCCTTCTCACTTCACTCCTGTCTTGCTTTCCTTGGCAGTTTGGAAGGTTTCAGCACATAGCCCTACATGTAATGAAACAACAGGGAGGGTAGCAACATTCTTACAGGGTCAGAACCAAGGTCAAGGAATAAACCACTGTGTTTAATTAATCGTGGGTTGCTGCCACTAGTTTTCCGTGTAAATATAAGCAGGGGCAGACTGTTTACTGAGCTTTTACACATGACCAGCCAAAAGGTAAATCTGAGGCGAGCGTCAGAGCAGCCTACTATACGAAGTCACCGCTGAAACTTCATTGCAAATTCAACCGAGCATACAGCTGTAGTCTTTGCCGTCGTGCAGTAAGAAGTGCTGTAGTAACTTAAATGCCATATAACAATACTCTATAACCACGAAAAATTATTTGGCTAATGCTTGTGCACTGCTGGGCACGGAATTAGCAATCAGCTGCTTTTAGCAAAGGGTGTTTGAGCTCGATTCTAGCAACAGAAGGCGTATCCAAACGAACCAGGAAACGCGCCCACATCCTCCACGCATCTTGATCTGGATTCATAATGATTTCAGCCTGATTTACCGATAAAATACCTATTTTGTTTTGCGATAACGTCCTTCTGCATGATTCATTTGCCCATACCTGAGATACTCTCTACCACGGCGGTTTATTACAGAAAGGTTACGGGGAGCATAGTTCAATTTCTTATTCCCTCTACCGGCCACTAAAGCGTGATCATGTGGGCTTAAAACGCCACTGTAGCATTGCCAGCACGAATCCTCATTGTATGAGCGATGAATCACTGGGTAGCTGAAAAAACAGTCTTAAAACACACTAGCCTGGTCCCGGCCCGTTCACTACGGTTTTTTTTTTTCCACTCTGCTCACTGAGGCGTCGCCTGCTGTCTAAAGCGGTACAGTCCGGCATTAGCCATTAGCCGATTCCTTCCGCGAAGATCCCTCAAGTAGCGCGACCCCCCCTCTGGAGGGCCTTACTCTTGCTTTTCAGCTGTAAAACAGTCCTGCGAATCACTTCCAGTCCTTCAGTACTCACCTGCTGCGGGGAAATACTGAAGCGGAGAACGAATGTGACCCTCTCTCGAGCTTCCACATCTCGGGCTGCCCCGACCCAATGCGCTCCACAGAAACCCGAGCTGCGTCACCCGTCACCTGCGCCAGTGGGCGTGAGAGTAGCGTCACGGGAGGCGGGCCTCCGGAGTCTGCGGTTGCCATAGAAAACACCGGGCAAGGAGACGGACACCTGAATGGGAAGTGTACCAGGAAGTCTTCAGTAACACTGAGCTTTGCCCTCCTGCAGCTGGGTTCAACGTGAGCGCATGTTGCCTGAGGATGACTGTTTTTTTTTGTAAATGTTGCTGAAACCATTCGCTTATTGAACACCACACTAATGGGAGATCGCTGCGTTGGCTCAATTCCAAAGCAAAAACAGAGCAAAATGTTATTAATCAATATAATATCAAACTTCATATGACGCCTTTAGAAATGGCTACTCAAAGCGCTTTACAGTACAGTAAAAATAAAACGCACACAATTAGAGGAGACAGCAGAATGACATAATTTCAGTAAGGGTCTTGAATGCAGAAGGAAAGCAGATTTGATGCTTTGAAAGTGCTTGATTTGAAAGTGCTCGAGGAAAGTGACTCTCTGATATCCTTTGGGATAGAATTCCAGAGCTGTGGGATGCAGCAAAAGAAGACCAAAACCCTATCAACCATAAAGTGTACGGGCGTTTGGGGACAGACAAGAGACCAGAATTAGTTGAATGAAGTTTTGCAAGGTGGGGGGTAGGAGTCAAACACATAGTGAGGTACCAAGCCATGTAAAGGTCTTCTGTGATGTTTAATAATTGTCTATTCTATTTACTGGCACTTTCATCATCTCATATGGTACGAAATTCGTATGTTTTGAATATATCCATTTTAAGTTATTTTCAAAATAAAAGAACGTTTGTTGAGCAGGATACAATGTTATGTACACACCTATCTTTGGTTTTATTGACATTTGGACAGCCTAGCGAATGAAAAATAATTTTGAAAATCGCAGAGCACTACATGTAGATAGGAACATCCTTTATTACATTATGAATTAAATAGCACTGAACTTGAAAACTAAATCTATAAAAATGACTTAAGATACCCATACTGACGACGTAAAAACTCTAGACTGTGAGGAACTAATGTTTCAATCATACGATGAGCTACACATCATTTAGAAGATTATTCAGTTTTCTTGAACATATTTCATAAAAGACATTGCTGCCCCTGGAGAAGCCAATTAACAGAATGAGTACAATTTTTGGTCTCAAATTAATGTCACATGCAGGCCAGTTAAAGTAATTTAATTCTTTAATGACTTAAGGGGATTATGAAGGGGTTTAATTCAAGTATTTAAAAGCCTTGGAAGATACTGAAACGTTAATCTAAGATACACACAATGTTGGGAGGATCTGGAACAAACTGCCCACACAGCTATGTAGTTGCAGCGGACTCATTACAGTCCTTCATTAAGTACTTAGATATGCAATGGGCTGAACCAACTCTTCTTGTTTCTTACCATTTTTGTTAGTAAGAATGGCGTCGTTTCTGCGATGAAAACAGGAGGTGAATTTCCATGCTTTTTTGACATTAAGGGGGAAAAAGAGGCCTCAACTGGGAGTGGAGCTAAATAAGGCACTTTTTTTCTGTTTTTGTAACACCAAAGGCAGATACAGAACATCCATATATGCAACATTTCTTTCCAAATCTTGCTAAATAATTTGCCAGCTCTGCCCATAGTAGACACTTTGCTGCTGTTCAGAGATCCCTGATGTGTGGATACACACAGATGAGAGGATATAAGGTATCTTTTTGTTGGTAGTGTGGTGTCATATAACAGCTCAGTGATCAAGCTCTCTTGGGAAAAGAATGTAAAATTGTATGCTGACCTACATATGCTGTGTTACTTCATGTTTGAAAAAGCTCTTTGACCTTACAGTAAAGAAAAATAATGGTGCATATTGTTTAGACAAAGTGTGAATTTAATTCTCACTTCTTTTAAATCACAAGTATTAAATTTTTGTCCTTAAGGAAAGGAAAATGCTTACATATGGTGTCAACATGATCAATGATCATGATGGAAAATGAAATGTTAGAATAACTATTCTCCTGGTGAGCACTACCATATCTCTTTCCCTATAATATTAGGAACAAATATGACAAGACGGGTAGGACAGTTAGTCTTAACTTAGTCTTCCTACACTGGGTTTGGAAAAGAAGAGTAAAAATGTGTTAACTGAAGAAAAGCATTGTTATGTTTTCAGACACATTCATTTTATTCTCTATGTACACTTTATAAAAGGTTAAAACCACATACATTACACAGTTTACACAATTCCCTGTATAAGTATGGTAACAACGGACAGAAACAATTAATTTCTGTTACAGTTTAGTAACTAAGGACAATTAGATTTCTAACATCAAACATCCATAAGTAATTTAAAAGAAACCACATATACAAAACAGTACAACTTGCCACAAACATGATCAAGTTTATAAATTATAAAAATATCAGTAGTTTATCACCAGTAACACATACGAGTGGAAAAATAATGGTAAACGTGTTTAAAGGGGTTGTTATACTTTATATTCTGAGGTTTACTACCCTCAGCACTGACACCATTAACATTATGTTTATTCTGAGAGCCACCCTAAATTTGTTTGGGTTTTTTTATATAGTTTACTGGCATAAATGAAGTAGAGACAAGAATGCCTGCATGCATAAACAAATAAAAAAATATTTAAGCAGAAGTTAACCAGATAAACGGACACATTTTGGTTCAAAAAGGTTTCTGTCCTGCAAGTAAATACAATAATGTTTTAAAAACCATTTCATAAAGTATTTTAAATTATGTTAAATTTGTTCTAGTTTTGTTTTTAGAAATCCTAGGTTACAAAGGTTTAAGGGTTAACAAGCCCCCAAAGTAAAGATTTAAATATCACCACTTACATGTAAAAGTGTGTTATATAAACCTTGCTGGTTTCGCAAAATAATTGTGCACTAGGTTGCAGTTTTGTAAATATGTAACAACATATCTCAAGAACTGCAGTCAGGTGTCTGTTACAGATAGTTATCAGCACTTTTAGCTATTCTCTTTGTGGTTCTGACATCTCTTTTTCAGATCTAGAACACATGCAGTTTTTTAAGAATATTGTTTTTACAAAAAACACTTGGAATCCAACATATAAATATTCATATTTAAACTTTTTCATTTGGTACTTTATCAGTTTATAGGAAATAATCCCATCTATATAATATTTTAAAGGATGAATATAATACTTTTAACTTTTGTGGTACAAACATATTGAAGTGGATTTTTATGTGATATTAATAAACCGTACAGTGCCATAAATTAATAATCTGAAATTACATCCATTCAACATATTAGAAACTTACATTTTAAAATGAAAAACTTTATCTAAGAATATATCACTATTAGTATAATAACTAGAAAACATTATTAATTTGAAATAAAAATTGAGGAAGCATTTATTCATGATGATAGCCAAAAAATTGCAATTTTCCTTAATGAGTCACCACGTGTCCTGCTGCAACTACACACTACAACACAGTAGTGCCTTGACTGTACAAGTTTGCCATTTTCAGTTTACTGCATTACTGGTGCAATGGCATTAACATGTCACGCATAGAAAAACACCCCCCAAAAAAGGAAGAACAGAGGCACAACAAACATGGTAATCCTCAATTAACTGACTTTCGATGAATCAGTCAAATGAGACTGTAACCAGAGAGTAGTATGCATTTTGCTTCATATTCTTGGTAGGGTCAACACGAAGAGTCTGTAGCTTTTATTTTCTCACACTTGCATCCAATTCTATTGGACGACAGATTAAAAAAATATAACATACATGTACTGAGTATTAAAAGTAATCACTTTTAACTACGGCAAAGTCACAGGATTTTATTAGGAAAATGACAATAGCCGTTGCACCAATTTTTTTCTTGAGGAGATCTGACATGGGCAAATTCATTATGCTGATTAACATTTATCATCATCTGGGGTGATGTGTGAAATTCACCGGCTAGAAGCATATGTGGCTACTACTGCAAGCAAACAAGTATTATGTGTAGCGATACACTCATTGCATGAGCGATGCACGTTTTGCACCAGTTTGTCATATTATCTTGTAGGATTCAATCCCAGTTTCACTGATCATAGACAAGCATGCACCCTATGTCACATGTTGTCTCAGCTCAATCCACAGATTGTAGGGCTCATGTCTGAGTCACGTTTTCATCTAACAAGAGAGCTGTTGTTACATGAGCAGCATGAGGACGTATGTTGTCTTGTTGATGTCAGATCAAGACGGGCCAGCAGGAAGGATAGCGAGGCAGCTCCCAGTGACCTGATCAATGCAGAGCCATGCAGTCAGACTGCAGGAATCACAAGAAGTGGAGTTCTGTAGTGACTTGACACTCCTGCTTAGACCATCACACTCGACCCTCTCCACTGGCTGGTCTGTTGTACACAACTATTAGCATAATATTCTGCATGTTTGCACCAGACGATTTTATTAGGAAAATGACAATAGCAGGTGCACCAACAGTTTTCTTGAGGAGACCTGACATGGGCATATTCCCTTAGTGATGTATCAGTATACAGCATGCAAGTGTATCATGGTTATTTTTTAATAACACCTTTATCACAATTATGGCAAAATCAAGTATGCAAATCAAAATATGAATACTTCATTTTTCTAAAAAACTGTCATTTAAATAGACTAATGCTTTTTTTGATGCTCATCCTATATGTTTAAAATCAATACAACTCACAGTTTTAAAGAATTATAAACAGTGGCTCTTCGTAGTATAAAGAGCAAAGCAATTATGAAACTACCCATGCATACTACAAGGAAGAATCAGGTGGCTTTAGTCGTTCTTGGATGGTGGTGTTACATTCTTCCAAGTGAGGGTGACACCCCTGAAGATCTGCAGCAGGACGATGCCCACAGACACAGTGGTGAAGCCACACAGCATGCCCAGACAGTCAAGCACTCCTACCCTGCTCCATTCCCGGAACAGGACCGCGGAGGCCAGCGTGACCATGCTGGTGAAAGTCACGTAGTAGATGGCTCCGAACAAGTTGGAGTCAAAGTGCTCCAGGGCTCTGTTGATGAAGGCGAACTGAATGAGGATGCTGACCGCCAGCGTGCCCAGCAGTCCCGCAAAGAGGTAGAACGCACCCTGGCTGGTGGAGTCCCCGCGAAACACGTCCTGTGCCGCCAGCCCCAGGCCTTTGCTGCTGGGCACAGTGAAACTGCCGAGAAGGGAGCAGATGCTGACGTACACCATGATGTTGGAGGCTCCGCGCGATGGAGCCATCCAAAATATCAACAATATCAGCAGGAGCAGAACCACAAAGAGGTAGCCTAAGAAGACTGCAAAAGGAGAAAAGCCCCTTAACACAGAGGACAGACACTAAAGGCACAGTTGTGATGACGAGGAATACTTCTGTGACTGTATCAGAAAATAAATCTCCATGACAACAACTGTTTCTTATCACAGCCTATACAATTATAAGTTAGAGCAGATATAGAAAGTTTTCAGCCGAGAGACACCTCAATGTTGGTAAGGTAAACAGTGAAGATTTTAAAGCCTTACCCTTTGATTATACAACAGAATTTTACTGTGATTGTGCTTGTCTCCATATCTGTATGGGTCACAATGGAATCTGTGTTTTGTCCTTATCTTGTCAAATATGCATTCAAAAAGATGGAGGAGTGATAAAGAAAATTATCACTCCTTTTAAAAATGAAGCATTACAACATTTCCCACACACCACAACCAGCTTGTAAAAGAATCAGGTTCACTTTTAAAGGAATTTCAAATATGCTGGAACCTCACTTACCTGGATCTCCCAGCTTTTCTTCAAGCTCGGCCCTGGAGGTCACATTCTCGGACTTCGGAGTGTGAATAATCAGGACAACTGAGCCGACACAGCTTAACAAACAGCCCAGCTTTCCCAGGACGTTGAGGTGCTCTTGGAGCACATAGGAAGCCAACAGGGCCCTAAAATACAAAACAAAAGGCTATATTATCATGACCAAGAAACAGCTATGTCACAAGATGCCACATGAAATAGGGCTACAATGAATATCCCTTTTGATTTGACATAAAAACAGCTTCATTCAAGAGTTAAGTCTGACTGACTTTGAAAAACAACTGTAAAAAATAAAATAGTCTTTTCAGGATACTATTTTAAAAATCACACCTGACCCCAAATAAAGGTTTCATGTTTTCCCCATCTCCCTTCCATAAAAAAACTGTATACTTAGTAGACACTGCCAATAACAGCAGTGTAGACGGGGCTTAGTTTGCACTTTAAAGTTGGAACTGAGGTTTATCTGACTCTGTTTTCATAAGGTTTCAAAAACATTATAGACACAAAAATATAATAAATAACAAACCTGAAATCAAACGCATATTATTTACAGTATCTCCAGATATAATAAAATTAACAAGCACTAAAGGTTTGTTTTCCTGAATCAGAGAGTCAAATATTTGTAATGTAATTATTAAGCTGAATACCTTGAACAGCTATGTCCTGGTGCACTTCCATATAGAGTAAAAAACTGCATATAGTGCTTAAGAACAATAAGAATTAAAGACGGTTAAAAATTGAATAAACAATTCAGCCTCTCAGTTCTGAGTACTTCCTACAGTACTGTATGTATTTAATAAATCAATCACTTAGCTTGGCCTGCTCTTAAATGATCACAAATTAGCGGTAACACAACAGGCATAATCAATTTGTAGTATTCTGTGAGGTAACACTAATTCTTGTGAGGAACTCATTCACTTCTTTTGTAAATTTGTTATCTGGAGCAAAATCAAAGAAGAAAAACAAGACTTGCCGGGTTTTCTCGACTTGTTTGCGTAAGATATGATGACAGGCTGCAATAACACGTGAACATTCCAGGCTGGTGAGTAATTCCAGAAGAAAACCAAACTGGATACGCTACACGTAACTCAAGAAAACAGGCTAGAACTTTTGACTCACCCAAAAGGCACACCCAGAGCTCCTAGTGGTGTAACCAAGACAGCAGGAGCAGCATTGTAGGCCAAGAAATTCCCTATCTGACCTATGACCACTGTTTAAACAAAAGAGCGAGAGATTCTATAGTAGATGTCCTAGTTTGAGAATTTCGAAAAGTCCATAAAAATTCCTGTACAGTCTTATTCTGAGGTCTTCTACTACCTTACAGTCCATTATGACGTTAGATGTCATCAGCACCCCACTTACAACGAAAACGTCATGTTCACAGTATGTGACTACTGTCTTCAGAACAATTTGAACTTTAGCAATGAATGTGAAAGACGCTTCTTCTGCAACGAAAAATATTTGCCAACCAAAGCCTATTATTAAACTTACATACCTGCTAATTACAAGATCATATTAAAGAAAGTGAGAAAATAATTTTGAAAGGACTATAATATATAATAAGTGCCACATTTGGAATCTTAGCTATTGCTCTTTTTTTTGCAGCTTCTGTTGCTGGAATGACTACACATTACACTGAAAATAAAGTTAAACTGTATTGCCTTCTGTATATCAACCACCGTACTCCATTCTCGATTTCCATTATTTATTTGTTTTCACACTAAACCTCATTGAAACTTTAAGATGTACGAAATATTGGGAAATAAAACATTTTATATCTGAACTGAACGTTTTGCATCAAAGCGTAGTAAAGAATACAAACACCCTCAGACAGGTTTTAAAGACGGAGGCTGAGAGCAACAGTTCACACGGCAAAAGAAGGAGATGTACTGTAGCTCAGAAAATATTAGCAGCCAGAGACTTACTGCACAGTGTTCCACCCCACCATACGTATTCAGTCAAGTATGAGGTGCCTGTGAAAATCAGTGACAGCTTTATTCAGCCTGAAAATCAAAACAAAAATCTAGCGTGCTTAAAATCGGCATTATACAATCAAACGGAAACAGCATAATAAATCATTTAAAAAAAACATTCATAATACAAATAAGAAAACAATCAGCTTCTAGCACAACGAATGAGTTCAGATTTTGATTCCAGTATTATTTTTAACGGATCGTACTTATCCACCACTGGTGCAGAATATTAAAATAACATTAAAAAGACAAGTGTATAATTTATACATAATTTAGCATTTATTATAAATGAACTCTAAACTATTTGGTCAAACAAAATAACATTACTTCACGAAACGTCATATACCTCGCTTTTGAGCACGCAATATTCCCTTCCTCTGCAACACAAACGTTGAACCATTAATAAAACTAGATACCACAGCTATACCTAAGCCAACGGACAGTAATGAACTTTTCTCAAGATCTAGAGTCATTTTAAAAAAAGTTATTTCAACAAAACTAGCTATAATTTAAAAAAAACTCTGTTCGCTTTGCTACAAAATAAAATCGAGGCAAAAAACAAACAGCATATCGTAATATCCTATAATTTAAATTCAGTCCATCTATAAATCAGTGTTAAACTGCAACTAAAGTAAACACTTTGTGTTCCGGAAGCTGAAAAAAGGTTAAAAGTGAGAGAAAACTCAATTGTTTTCTTTTTAGCGCCCTCCCCTGGGAAAATGAATGAATTAATATTATTCAGAGTTTCTCAACCTTTTTTGATTTGAGAACTCATTCTCAAGCAATCACTGTCTGATCAAGTCCATTCATTCCAGATAAATCTTTCAGTAAATAATCTTACGTAGTAGAAATATATAAAACCTATAACGAGAGCCACATCTATGCATTTTGGGTTGTAAAGTATTATTTCTGTTGTATTGGGAGGTTTCACTGTAGGTCTATATGTTTGCATTTTTTAATAATAATTCCTTACACTTATAGAGCACTTTTCTGGTTTCCACTCAAAGCGCTTTACAGCTAACAGGGACTCCCCTCCACCAGCACCAATGTGGAGCTTCACCTGATACAACAACAGCCATAGTGCTTCAGTACTTTCACCATCAGGAGAACAGAGTGATTAAGCCAGTTCATAGATGGGGATTATTAGGAGGCCATGATTGGTAAAGGCTAATATGGGGAATTTGGGCAGGATGCTGAGGTAACCACCTTACTCTTTTTGAAAAACACCCTCTGATTTTTAATGACCCTTTTGAGTCAGGACCTCAGTTTTATGTCTCAGCTGAAGGATGGAGCCTTTTTTTACAGTATAGTGCCCCCTACTGGCCCCACTTCCAGCAGCAACCTTAGTTTTTCCCAGGAGGTCTCTCATCCAGGTACTGACCACACTCAACCCTGCTTAGCTTCCATAGGAAGACAGATGAGAGCTGTAGGGTGAAATGAGTGAGATAGTAGCAAAAACATTTGAAAGTGTTCCTTGAAGAACTTTAATGGTTATTAAAGCGCAAAGGTTGGACAGATTCACTTTTAGTTTATAATCAGTGATATTCACTCTTGGTCCTGGTTGGGCACAGTACACTAGGTTTTAGTAGTAACTTGCCACCTTCATGAGTAAAGACCTGAAAACATGTATAATACAGGTCAATTAAGTAAATAATAGATTTAATTAAAGTCATTAATAGCCCAGCTTGGAATAAAAACAAAAAATATTGTGACTCCTCCACCCCCAGTGTGAAAATGTTCTTTTTCATAACCATGCATTTGTACTGAACACTAAATCCTAGTTTTCTTATTCATTTGATTAGATCAAATACAAACCCTGAGAGGTTTGCACAGTAGTGTACACATTGAAACAATGCAGGACATTTAAAATGCAAATAAAAGTAGAGTAAATAGCTTTGGCATTGGGCTAAAGTAATTAAAAAATAAAAGTTATTATATTAGAAAAAAGAAAAGGAGAAGAGAAGAGTCAGGACATAGTCCGTGGAGAAAAAACTTGCTTCAGTGAAGCTGAATAAAGAAAACATGTTTTTGTTCTAAGCATGAAAAAAGCTTCATAATCACTTCTTTCCTGGCATTTCAGTTTCTGTGCAAAAGCACCTTAAATTAAATCCAATACACATATTAAAGCTTTGAAGACTCAGATCTTTTAACAGGTAATAAAACATCAACATCACTCACCCTGAGCACTTGCACCCCACAAGGCTGCTGTCTGAGTCCAAGGTTGTACATCCTATTCACTCACGACTGCACAGCAAGACACAGCAACAACCACATCATTACATTTGCGGATGACACCACTATAATAGGTCAGCGATGATGACGAGTCCACTAAAAGGGAAGAAGTTGTACAGCTGCTGAGGTGGTGTTGTAGCAATAACCTGGACTTGACCGTGAGTTAAACAAAAGAACTGAAATGATAGAAAACCACATACTGTACTCACAGCCCACTCAGCATTGAAGAAACAGAAGTGGAAACACCAACTTTAGGTTTCTGGGAATTCACATTTCTAATAACCTTACCTGGACTGTGAACACAGACATTATCTTGAAGAAGGCTCAGCAGTGCCTCTATTTGGTGAGGTGCCTCAAGTGATGGGGGATGCCACTACCTAACATAACATCACTTTATTAGCCCTATACAACTTCTTACATTAGGAATCCATCTTTTCACATACCCCAGCTCGCTCTACATGAGACACAGACATACAGACAGGGAGAGAAGCTTGGGATCAGAGCACAGGGTCAGCCATTGGACAGCACCCCTAGAACAGTTTGGGTTAAGGGCCTCACTCAGGGGCCCACCAGAGCAGGATCCCTCTGCCAGCTGTGTGATTTGAACCAGCAACCTTCCAGCCACAGGCGCAGATCCTAAGCCACAGGGCCACCACTCCTATGTTGGCGAACTTATGTTGGCGAACCGCTGCACCATCGAGAGCGTCTTCACCGACGGGATCACCGTGTGGTACGGCAACACCTCTTCTCAACAGTGAAAGGCACTGCAGAGAATGGTGATCCTGGCCCAGAAGATCATCGGCTGTGGTCTCACAGAGATTAAACAGATCTATGAGGACCGCTGCAGTGGTAGAATTCTGGCCATCACAGAGGACAGTCACCACTCCTGCCATGAGCTCTTCATCCCACTGCCCTCAGGCAAGAGATATAAGAGCATACGGACACTTACCACCAGATTCCTCAATAGCTTGTACCCACAAGATTGGCGAACACATTTGGCCATGCCCCTTGGACCACACCTACACCATCTACCTCATTGTAATTTTATTTATTGCACATCTGCAGTCATTGTTTGCATGTCTGGATTGTTTACATTTGAACTGTTAACTTGTTCACTCGTACATTGTCCACTGTTTGTTTGTATATTATCTGAATGCACTGTCTGCATTTTGTGTTTTACACTTTTTTAACAATCGAGAGATTTTCTGTAAGTAAGAATTCCACTGTACCAGTACATGTACCGGTTAAATATGGCAATAAAGTTCAAGTTCTACTTTTAAGAATAACACATACAATATATATATATATTTATTGAGTATTCCACTAACCAAAGATTGTATTATATGAAGGAGGATATATAATTAATACATAATGAAATGCACCCTACTGATCGCCAATGCCTCTTAAAATAACTTAATATGCCTTGGACAGAATTGAAGGAAGGTAAATGCTTATTATACGCTCCTTAAGCAAGAAATCTTTTATTGGGCGAGTCCGAGGATTAGCACTCTGGATCTTAAAGTCGTTGTTGTAAATTGTATCAACACTGCGTGCGTCTCTGCAGCAGGTGACAGTAAGGTGAAAAATAAAGCAATGATACATGCATCATTTAATATCCTAGCAATTTTCGATGTACCCGTTCTGTCCTATAAGAGATAAAGCTTAAATACAGGAAACGTGTTTACGAATTGGGGATGACCTCTTAAGCTTTATTCATATTTTCTCAATAACGTGCACAATTATGACAATTGCACAGATAATTTGCAATAGCATGTTGCTAGTGTCTAGGGTGCCCTTATTAAAACGTTTAAAAATAATGGACACTGTTTTATTAAACCTGAACATTTCAAGCCCATCTATTAATAGCAGCAGAACAACAACAACAACAAAAAAAAATGATGTAATGCCCTCTGTCCCTTTAAATTTAGGCTCGCACCCTTTGATGAGTCTACCAACCTTTATCAAGGCTCACACGATACCTCCCCCTTTACCCGTTGTGTCTTCACCCATTGGCTTCGTTTCCTAAACCTCGTTGGCGTACGCGCATGTCAATCATGGTCCAACATGGATGGGATTAGAATGCAGTAGGGCTGGTAACGGGGGAGTCGGTGATTAAATAAGTCAAATTAAACAGGTAAGGTTAGCAGCGTTTTATATGATGGACGATCTGCTCTTGGGGCGTTATTCCAGCGAAAGCAAGAGCGGTAATGTCGGGGGGCACTCGGGATTTTGGGTAGCGTCGCCCCATCCTTTCCGCGTATGTCGGGGACTGTCTACACTTGATGCAGCACCAACATCAACAGCCTGAAACCAGCCGGGAGTAGTCAGGACAGTCAGTGACATTGCCAAAATAATGTAATGATAAATGTGTAGCTGTAGACCACAGCCCTAGTGGCTCGCTGGCGTTTCCTTTAAAGGCCCAGACCTCGCACTTAACCTGTTCAACGATGGTGTCCCCATGTAACTAAGCTACTTGAAATGAAAGTACATTCTGGACAGCCTCGGCGTCTGTAATGCTGTCTTGTTAATAAGGTGTCGGCGTAAGCGACATTTTATGTTGCCAGGTACAAATGCTCTCGCTAGTAATAATATAACTAAAAAGAACCAAGATATGTGAAAGCTTTTAGCGTGTTTGGATTTTAGACATGCACGATGTAAAAAAAAAAATGCAAGTGTCTCTGCATTGCCTGGATGCAATCACCTGCGCGTTTCGAAACTTTAATTTCTTTCCCTACTGGAGGCACACGGAGCACAAATATGTAGAGCCTGGACAGGTGAAAACCTTATTTTTGAGGCCCTTAAGGTGCAGTATAAACCCAAGGGTAGCAAATTAAATTTCTTATAATACATGTAGTACGTATATAGTGTAGTGAGTGTTATTGCAAGGTTTTGCTTTCGGCAAGACAAACTAATATCGTCAACTTGCGTCAGTGAAGCTAGAACGGTACGCGTAATTAATAAGATTTGTGTGGTACAATTTCTCTGTGGTTATAGGATCGGCTGCTAGAGCAGCCAGGGGAGACGAGGGAAAAGATGCCTTCTCCGTCTTTCTCCCTGAATGCCCAGTCAAGGTTTGATTCCAAATGGCTGAAGACGGACTTGCAGGTAAGCGGGTTTTACAAGATATTTTGTTTCCTCCCCTACAGTGTGATAAAGGTGTCACAACGATTATTGGCATCGACGATTGCAAGCTTTTTACGCGTTGTGTTTATTTTCTGGGTGAACGAGAAAGTTTTAAAATCAACCTTTTTGCTGCCCTTTAGAGTTAGTCTTCAGCTTGATTGTTAAGCACCTCGACGTTGGTTAGCTTTGAGAAACTTCATCATACAAGGTGGTTCAAACTACTGAAATGGAGTGGCCATAAACATGTTAGCACGTATAGGGAAAAATCAATATTCTTGCCCATTAATTATTCTTAAGTTCATGTCACGGTCTGGACCGTTGCTTCACACAGGTAGGAATTCTCTCTCTTCATTGATGACCTCTCTGTTGTTTCTTTGTACTTGGACCTGAGTATTGGAAAAACCTGCCACAATAGAAATTATTCTTCCAAGGTGGTGAGAGTAAAAAAATTTAGCTGCAATATTTCATACACTCCATTATTTGTACTGTTTTATTCTGGATTGCCAGAATAAAACAGTAGAAATAATAGGGCAATGTTTGGTGCTGTTTAGGTGCAAATGTTTTATTGTGGTAGTAAGATTTCAGCAAGAAGGAACTGGCAATTTTCTTATCTTTATGGCCACAGTTGTTCCTAAAGCACCTTGTAACTCAGATGAGGCTCAGTATGTTTCTGAAGGATAGCTTTGTGTCTGCTGATGAGAGACAGGAACGTGACAATACCAAGTACTACTCTATTAATGGCATGTTCTTTCAATTTCAGAGGTTTGTGTGGATAATCTGCTAGTGCTGGCTGTTTACTTCTGAAATTCTGTTGTGCAGGGAAGATCCTCACTGTGAGTCCATGATTGAGTGAGGAACGGAAAGTTGTTGTGTCTCTTGGCAGGTGACTGGCTCATCCCCTGAGTTAGGAACCCTGTGCTCACTTCTCCTGGGTTCAGTAGCTTAGCAACGCCCTCAGAGCCTCACTGTTCCATGTTTTGGGTGGTTATTTTATAGTTACATACCCTCCTTTAAAGGTATCATTGTGTCTCAATTTGATTCTTGTTTGAGATGTTTATTTTATTCTTAATCATTATTTAAAATATGACCTTTCTTATTCATAAACATGGAACCACAAACACAATTAACAGTTGGGAATTTGCAGGACTGAATTGGAGTTAAACAGGCAGAGGGGTCAGTGATCAACGTCACCTGTACATTCAGCTAGAGGAATTGGTGAGAAAAAGAGCCGAGGGGCTGAGATGTTAAGAAGCAGCTTGCCTTGTTTCAGAATTTACCAGCATTGTTTTTAACTCAAAGTTTAAAGGAGCCTCACATGGCAAAAAGTATAAACTCAGAATATTTGTCAAGTAAAGACAAATACTAGGGTATTCTATACTTTCACTTAGGTTATAACTGGGAAACAAAATTTAAATATGGTTGTGAAAAAAGGTCTGATTGGAGATTTGCCCCATATTTCCAATTCTTTGGTATTTTTGTGGATTCTTTGTCCTTTGTTCCCCTTGCTTTATGTCCCAGCAACTTTGGTGTCTGTCCTTTACTCCTTCACACTGAAGTTGTGAACCCTCAACAGCAGAGACATTTCTTAAGTGTAGAATTAACCCCTTAAAATAGCTAATATCTGAATTTTACCAAAAAAAAAACCTCTTGTCAACTTTCAACTCGGAAAGGGAGAATAAAATAAAATGTTCTGCCATGCAGCTTCTTGTCTGTTTTGGTGTCTGTTGCCTAGTTCCTTCTAAAGTGTGTTAATGCAGGCCTGTTTCATGCTCTGGCAGGCAGCATGCAAGCCAGTGTTTTGACTGTTACTGTCAATGGCCAAGGAATACAGTAGACAGATGTTTACCTACTGTACTTTCAGCAAGCATTTTCAATTCCTTGTCTTAAGGCATCATCCTCAGGTCTTGTGCATCATGAGATAAAGGCCTGTGTAGATGTAGGCCTTTTGATACAAGGTTTTCTGTTACCGTTCACTTTCTCCCTTTTTGTAAGAGGATGAGTGATCCGTGTCAGTGAAAAGTAAGTGTGAGAGAGCAACTATGTTGTGGTGGCAAATACGAACATTACATGATGTAACTGGGAAGTTTGGACGACCAGATCTGCAACCCTCTGACTTCCACAGGTCAGAGATGTAACATGGTTCCTAGGCCCATCCACATAATTTAATCGTAATCAGATTTAGAAATTTCACTACAGTATGAAACTAAAAAGGCTTTTGATTTTCTTGATGTGTACTGTAAAATGTCATCTATGGGTACTGTTTTTTAAAAGACATGTAACCACCCATCTAGCATTTACCAGTGGAACAGCTGTACTCTGCCTTAGCAAGGTGATTGAGATTTCTCCTTAACTGCCTTACTAAACTTTTAACAAATGATTTCTGCTGATAGCATCTGCAGCTGAAGTTCAAATAATAAATGAAGAGACCATTTCCTTTCTTAATGGTTATGGAGATCCCCTTTTAGTTCTACCGGCTTTTTACGCAGAGTGCTTTTATGCATATTTAATTGGACGTTCTGTTTATTGAAAATGTTGCACATGGTTTCATATTGCTTCACAGTTGTTTGAATAATTCAGTACTTTCTGGTCTATTTTTAAATTGATTATGTCCTGAAACAGAAGAAAAACTGCAAGCCTTGCGGTTTTAGGTGTTTATTTTGTTGTGCTTTTGATGGATAACTAAGCAGAGTCATACTGAGCATGAATAAAAAGGATATTGAATAATTAATGGGCAATTCGTGAAAGGTGTTCTTCATTGAGGAAAAATATTTTGTGTTTGAAATAACCAGCACTGGAATTTGCTTTAGGGTTTAATCTTTAACATAATCTCTCATCACCTTTATCAGGTATTTCTCATTGCTGTTTCTACAACACTCTACAGTGACACAGCTGTGGACAGTAGGTTTATCATATTGGGATATCATTTTTATTTTAACATCACTTATTTGAATTGACGTCACATACTATATATTGTGTAATATGATACTAGTAAGTGTTTAAATGTCATTTTAAACCTTTTGGTTTCAGGCAAATGTTGATCTGTAGTTTTGGGGGAAGTCTGACATTTTATAGCATATGATAAAACTAGGCCTTCTGGAATACCAAATATGGGATCTAGATGCTGTATTGTGGTTTACAAGGTCTAAGGCTATGAATACTTGAAGCTCATTACTGTGGAGACAAAATATAGTACTCGGAATGTTTAGAAAAATAAGAAGGCATCCAGATGACATTTGTAATTTGCACACCTGCTTTTTGTGTCTGTTTCAACAAAAGGTTGAATTCCAGCACATCATTTACAGAGTGAATGTGAACAATATGCATTTCCTGATCATTTTGTGCTTGAAGTGCAATTGAGAAAGGGAAATACCTAATCCATGAATCTATCCAGTTGTAGACCTACAGTATCTTTTCACAATTTTAATTTTATTATTATTATTATTATTATTATTATTATTATTATATAGATGTAAAGTAAAAGATATATGCTGTTGGGTTCCTTTAATTCACAAAGAGGAGATCCTTCTAAATTCAGGCTTGCCAGAAGAAGGCGCTTACATTATTGGACTTTCAGTGTTCTTGACTCTTGCTGATACTTGAAATAAATTAGATACTCATGGGTCTTGTTATAATGCCAGCCTTTCTTTTCCTAAACACTGCTAAAAGTTCATAGCCCCAGTCAGCTGCTCGCTGTATTGCTCTGCAGAATATCCCATGCATGTTTGCTTTGAAAGATATTTGACACAGTCTTGCACAAGGATTAGGATGTGTACTTGTAGCCAGAATTAGAATGGCTTCAATGGTTTCTAATGAAAGACGCGTCTCACAGCACTGCTCTGAAGTGTAGGGTGTGTTTAGTGTCGCATTTAATTTATTTCACCATCTGAAACAGAGATCATGGGAATAAAATATCAGATGGATTTGAAACTTGCTGTGATGATAGTTGTTTGGTTATTGTTTTTTAGTAAAATTACTGAGATCTGATTAATAAGATGTATCCCATGGATCATTATTTTGATTTGAATCTACAAATGCAATAAGCTTTCAGTAGATTGGGTGGCTGATAGAACATTTATAATCCACATTTGAAGCTAGTAAATTATTTTTTCTCTTTTGAAGTTTGTTGAGAATTAAAAAAGCTCTTCAATATTGGAAGCTGTGGACAATCAGACTATTCATTCATTGGCTTTACATACCATTACTGTTTATTAAACGAGCGTCGTTGTTCATAATTGCACATAAACATGAATATTTTGAATGTTACTTGCAGTGCTTGCTGGGATGGACCCTGCATTGGAGGAAGAGGTTGGGAAATAGATAGACTTAGCTGTGTTAGTACTAGACTTCTAAAATGTGTACCCAAGACCTGAACATCTTTAGCTAACTGAGAAAAGATTTTGCTCAATAAGACTGTTTTTTTTTCGGTTTTCTGGGCTCTTTCCTGACATTTGTGAAAACAAAAGGCTGTTGAAGAGCAAAGTTGTGTGTGTCTGGGAGACTGTGTGCAGGGAAGCTGGGTGTTCTGTGATCTTTTGATGTCTGTAGACCTTCAAGATCATTAATTCATGATTTTGGAATTGCTTGTAGCAGTGCTATGATTAGAAATGGGATAGTAAAACACCATTGTTTCAATCAGGTTGTACAGAACCCTGTTAGTAAAGATGAATTCTAAAATGGCAGCCTCTGGTTAGTTTCTGTTTGGCATAGTTTGGGGGGGGGAGCTGATCTGAATTATTGAAATATATTCAGAACTGGCCCATTTTCTTAGCAATTTTGAACTGGGTTATGAGTAAATGTTAAATAAAAAATAATTACCATTTAAGAAGATTAAATGAATGTCCAGGCATACATTAGGGAAAATGTATTTTTTTTTTAATGGTTTCAAAATGTGAGTAGTTCTTTCTTTTCTTTTGACCAAGTATAGGGCTGTTCTTGTACGTTTTAAACCCATTACCCCTGAAGGGTGCGGCAGCCTGTTCTGCTGCACATGAGTTCTAATAATGTAGCTGCGTGAGATTTGCTGGGCGGCTTGTCACAGGTTTCTCCTGTCCTCCTGTGACCCTGATGGACAGCTAAAAGGAGGCAGAGTGGAGACTTGCCACTTCACCGATTCTTCAGCGTTCCACTTGCTGCTTTAAGACTCGCTGTCAAACGTTTTTTTGTGAATTTCATGTGACCCCCCCCACCCCTACTGCATCTGGGTCACTTTTATAGCACAGTCTCTCTCTCTCTCTCTCTCCTTGAGTTGAAAGCTGCTTTTTAGGTACTGCTGAGGAAGAAAGATGTTCAGTTTATTTGTCATATGCACAAGTGCAATTAAATGCTTATTTGCATGTATGCTCTAATACAAACATGAAAGGAATCACCAAAAACATAAACACTGAACAGCAGCAGCAGCAACAAGTTAAATATAGAGCTTAAAAAAAAAAGGTCAGACAAGCAGTGCGAGAAAAAAAATCAGTGTGAGCTAGAGGCAGAGTTCGGTAATCTGACAATTTGTGGGAAGAAGCTCTCTGAATCTGGAAGTTCGTGCCTTTATGAGATGTAGAATCCCTTCTGAGAATTGAAGATCTGGCTGCAGAGTCTAGGCTGCTTGTCATAGCAGTGGGCAGCACCAGGAAGGGCTGTGTAATGTATAATGTGTGTGCATGGTTTGTGCCTTTGTGTGACACTGTACCTTTCAGTTTACTAATAAAACTTGCAGGTAGAATAGAAGTATGATGTTCTTATGAAAATGAGTACTTCACTATTTTGGTAGATGAATATGTACTTACTGTTCAATACTGTGAAAATCCCTGTGAAGACAGGCTTGAAGAACGCTGGTCTAAAGCTGCCTTGAACTGGGGCTGTAACAGTGATAGGAATTTAGGGCAGGCAGTCCTCTTATCTTTCAGTACATGTTGTGAAGGCATGTCTGTTGAGGCATAACTCCAAATGTTTGCAAAACAAAATTAATTGGATGTCTCACTCTCTCCCATCCCTGTCCTAAGCTAACTTTTGATTCAGTTTCAAAACTTCCTGGATCCAGTTTACTTGGTGACCTTTTTTATGTAAGTGAAGGACAGACTGAAAAGTGTTTGCTGATAAGCGTCTAGACCAAAGACTCTTCTTGATGCTGTTAAGCCTGACTTTGAATATGATCTGTTGTGGACACTTGGCAGCTGTTTCAAGTACAGTATATTACACCTTTATACAATGTGGAGTAATAAGTATTTGCAGTTTCTTATCGAAATATTTATGAATTTGACTTTTGAATTCCTCTAAGCGCCGTGTTCTTAGAAATAAATCACTAGCTTCCTCAGTAAGAGATTTGTAAGTTCCATTAAGGCGAAATCACCTTGTACACCCTATTGCTTGCCTGTTTCTTAAAAACTTCTCTCCACCAGCTGCATGACTTATTGTTGGCAAAATTAAACGTAGCAGTAATTGTTTCCAGTGTTTTGCTTTAAGTGTAACACGTTTATTGACACTTTTTAAATGGTAAATGTGGGGAAAAAATATGAATGCCTTTTCTTTTGCAGCGTATATTTTCTCCAGATGGGTTATGTGAGTTATGGAACGAGTTGGTAAAAGATGAAGAAATTACTTGCAATGGGGAAGAATCTGCACAGCCAGGTGAGGCTTTCACTAATTCTTACTAGTGATGACAAAGGGTATTTGCTCTTGATGTCAGTGCTTACTGTATTGGCCCATTACAAATAGTGTTTAAGGATGTGTTTTAGAAACTACAGTATGCGGATACATCTCACCTCACCCTAAGGTGGCTTACTTGTAGACTTTTTTTTTACATGCACAATCCTCTAAAGATTCAGTGCAGATCAAAATAATCTTTATTCAGGAACGACGAAGTGATTAGAAATGTAAAAGAAAATGGAAGATGTGTTGATATCCGACTGTCGGTATGTTGGCACCGGATACAATGAGGACCAGTTTTTACTACAAAACATTTATGAATGAGGTGAGGCCATGCAGCCCATTGTGGGCATTTGGCTGGTAGTAGTTTAATGATTCAGGAATTCTATCTCCTAATGCAGTGGTTCTCAATCTTTCAAACACAATGCCCCACTTTCTGTTAACCCAGAACTACAGGACCCACCTTAGCGTGTGGGCTAATAATTATGAGCATGTTTTTTTTTGCAAATGATTGAATTTCAGCTGCTGTTTGTGAATGTGATCTTACATCCATGAAAAATATTTCTTTAATTAAAAAAAAACGTAAAGACACGTTGAAGGTAATCCAAATTCATGTTGGTATCTTCATGAAAGGTTTACTCAATGGTTTTTATTATCAAACTGCTGTGAATGCATCGAGAGTTGTCTATGGGGAATTTGCTAGCTAAACTTTTGTTTTTAAAGAATTTGCTGGTTTGCCACACATACATGTCAGTGACTAAAACACTGAATATCGGGAGAAGCATGATTATAAGGCGAATGCTCGTTTATACTTCTAAATTGCTGTAACAAACATGGCCGTGTGGTTGGAAAAATTTGGTACGCATCTCGAAATCGGCTGTGTATAAAAAGCTCTCTCACCCCCATTGGATCCTCGTATGCCCCTCTAGGGGGCTGTGACCCACCAGTTGAGAACCCCTGTTCTGAAGCATCCCACAGAGTCGGCTTCACCAGCTGAATCCCAACCTGACCACCTACTGGGAAGAGGAAGGGTCCTGTCTGAAATTTTTGTTGAGTTCACATTTATGCGTGTGCACTACCATAAAGACCTGGGTAAAGAATGTGGATTGGCTACGCATATTCAGTCATATTGAGGGTGGTTGGGGCTTAGTCGATAAAGCAGTTTTGTTAGCTCACATGAGAATGTGGAAATGGCCGTATATCATCTAGGAAACTCGCAGTACATCCTAGTGTTTATCCCCACGAAGAGTTGGCTTGTACTGTGTTAAGGTATGTGCCTGGCACACGGTAACCTGGATTGGTTTTATCCCTCCCAGAAGACAGCGTGGATTGTGTTGGAAGCCAGAAGAAGGATGAGTCTAATGACAAGGAGAAGAAAGAGGAAGAAGAAGCGTCAACGTCTGTCCATCACTCCATCATTGAGACATGGGACTGGGGCCGACAGCCAGGTAGGCCACGCACGGCACTTGTATGGCACAACCCGGCCTCCATAATTGTTGAAGCGAAGGATTGTTATTGCTAAAAGCTGCTGCCATGTTGGATCAACTTAGTTTTGCGACTATCTTAGTTCACCAGTCATTGCTTTCTGCCTATGCTCCTGTAAGACCATAACTGTAATTGCAAATGAAAGAAGGCCATTTGACCCATCTGGCTTAGCTACTAGTAGCTAATTGATCTGAGGATCTTTTACAGCCTTCTTAAAAGGAAACAGGGATGGTTTGTTGCTTGTTCCAGACTCCCACTGCCTTTTGCAGAATCAAAGTTTCCATCTGGTTTTTCTTGCTTGTTTTTTGTTGATTCTAAAGAGGCCGTTAATGTTGCATTTGTTTGGTTTGGTGATTTTGAATAGTTGAATCAAGCCCCTTTGTATTCCTCTCTGTTCAAGACTAAAAAGGTTAACTTCTTTTAGTCTATGTAGAAAACATCACTGAGCCTTTGAACGGACCAGTTACATTTGCCTTTTTAATTGCTTCTTCACATTGTCTAGGTTTTAGATTTTTAGAAAAATCTTTTTCAGACGTGGCGTTTCCCATTTTATACTTCGTTTTTTCTACTTGCACATAACACTTGTTCTTGTCTACATTTAATGTAAACTGCCTGGTGTCTGCCAGTGTTGCATTATGTCTAAATAATTCAGATTTTTTGAATGTATTTGTTATGGTTGGCCACTCATCATCTTTTTGTATCACTTGCAAACATGACATTATGCGATTAGAAAGAGGCATTACAAATCCTTTTGGTTCTCTGCTAATGACATCATGAAAGCAAAATTTCCTGCAGCCAGTTGCTTGCAGATTTGTCTGAATAGTTTTCATCGAATGTTGATATCACATAGTTATGTCATGTCTTATTTTCCAGATGTAATTCTTTGTTAATTTACCAGGTTTTCTTTAGTTGTATTCATTTTCCATTTAAAAGAACTGAAGTATTTTTTAAAGTTTTATTTATATATTGATTTTTTTTTCCTTCAGGTAGCTGGAATAAATAGTGATACTTTATTAAGAGATTGGATTATATACTGTTTCCCCCTTCCATTCTTCTATTATAAGTATATTCTTAGTATAGTTAAGTTCTGTATGAAGTCCTTTAAAATAAAACAAATCAGTGTCTTATGATCAACTGGAAGTGCACAGAATACATTTCTTCCTAAGTCTTAGATATGTGCAGCCTCTAAATTCTGGTCTGTCTTGCCATGTTTGCTTTATCTTTGACTGTAAGTCAGTTGGTCCAGTTCTGTGGCTGTCCTGGACCATGGTTGCAGTCTCCTGTCTTAGACCAGATACATATTCTTTGTACATATACTGTAATGGAGACTAAGCCTTAATGTGTACCAGCTATTTACTTGCCCTCTAGAATCAGATAATGGGTTCCACCAGGTGGCGCAGTACTTAGCTGTTGGAAGAGCAGGATTTCCATGTTGATTGTGCAGAATGCTGCAGTAGAATTATTTCAGCCCCAAATATCACGGGAAGACGGGGAGCTATAGCATATTGCCAGCTTTTCGAGATATTGCTTGGTTTTAATGTTTAATTCTGTTTCTTCCTCTTGAGGCTGGTTTTCCATCTGCAAGGTTGACCGACCGGACTTGGTCACCTGGCACTGTCCTTGCGTATTTCACCAGCTGGGCCGTTAAACAAAATGACCCAGATTCGTTTTGCACGCTGCTGTGATCAGACTCATATATTGGGGCAATGACTAGCTGTGTGAAAGGAAACCGTGTTTTTTGTGCATTTTTAGAATCCGGTGGCTGAACCGTTTCTAATTTAGCTGAGAATGGAAGTCCATGAAACTTTGATAAATGAAGTCATCTTTCTTTGCTGTGGTTTCTTATACATCTTGAGTGTTGCTGATTTAAAAATGGTGAGATCATGCAGTGTTTTAGGAAAGTTTGCTCCAGCTTGGTGTGATAGTTGATCTTCACTTCATGTTGGTGAATCTAGCTAATCGATACCTAATATTAAACGTCAGATTACTTTTGGTTAAATTTCAGCTTCAAATGAAATGTTTTCAACAAAAAGGCATCTTCCAAGATGGTGGATGTGCAAAGCTTCAGGATGCAAGTCTCTGTAGGCTGTGAATGGATGGAGGCTGGTACATCTGTCATGGAAGTCTTAGATATTGTATTTTAGATTGATTAGCTTTGATTTGCACCACGTTTCATCTTGGAATCGGTGTGTTCAGAAAAGGAATTCGAAGCTGCTAAATGCCATTTTATTATCGGAATATTTAATCTAGTTCCTAGATAGATCTTGCTTGTTTGCTCAGGGAATACATTCAGTATTTTTAACTCCTGTTCCAGGAAAATGAAAATCAACTCGACTTGGCCAGAGTGAAATTTTGTCACCTAGTATTTAGATTGCGACAATTAATAGAACAGGCTGTATATATCCATGCGAAGCCCTGGCTAATAATAGCTTGTTGGTTGATTCCAAGTCGATGGATAGAGAAACCTATCCATGTGTTCCAGTAATATTAAGCCACAGGACTGTGTTTACTTACAGAGTAAAAACAAGTTGCAACACATGCGTAATGAGCCAGTGTCAACATTAATACATGGAAATTATGACCTGACACCATGTCTTCGTGATAAGTACTGTAAGGCCTAGTGTGCTTTTGTTGTGTAACGGTGTATTTGCTGTCACACTGCAAAGAATCCTTGATGCTTGTGAAGTTAAAGAAAAAAACTGAAGAGCAAAAAGAGCAAACTTGAAGCTGAGATTTAATAGAACTAGTTACATTTTTCACATCTTTGAGGATCCCTGAAGTTCTAAAAACTATCACTTCTGGTCGTAAAGCTCTGTTTTTAGAAGAGCATTTGTCTTTAACAAAATGACCCCTGTCAGTTATTTCGTGATGCTTTCATAGGTAATGATCAGGTACCGCTTCACAGTAATTATAGCTAAAAAATCTGAACCTAATGTCTAACTGAATGTATAGTATTATTTTTATTTTGCATGTTGGCTTTTCCTTGTTTATTTTTCCCACACGACGTCGTCACTGGGAAGTGCTCAGTGAGCATGTGACATCAGGACACCTTTTCCTTCTCCAGCTCCTGAACGGATACAGCTGGGCTCTAGAGGATGGAGTTCTGGTATCTTCCTCCTGCGCAGGGTAGCACTGCTGTTTGTGGCCTCTTTGTCCTTTTTATAGAACCAGCACTTCTCACATAATTTCCCCGTATTCTATTTGTCTGCCTCTGATGTTTTGGCCTGATGAGGCTAGCCCTCGTTTATCGGGCACACGCTGAGGGGGGGCTGTTTTCAGTGGAGGCTACTCTTATAGCCCGTATATGAAGTCTTGCCTGTAAATTTAGGGTGAATTTTATGTGGCACTCCTGATCCCCATGTCTCAAATCCTGGTTAGTGTTGCACGTTATTTCTGCAGGGAGTAAGATGTTTATGGCCAGCAGTTGCACTTGTCACTGCATAAATGGAACCACACCAAGAAAATATCCGTATTTAATGACAATCCGGTGCTGTCTTTGAATATGCTGATCATCCTTTCTCTATTCTACCCTGTGAGTAAAGTTTCTCTTAATGTGTTTGTGTCCCCTGCCACACGTGCCTGCGTGGGGGGAGGTTAGGGATCTGCACAGACTGTCTGCAGGAGCTCTATTTTTATACACCCGCAGTCTGGGCCTTGACTTGACAGGCCTGGGTGCTCGAAATCGGAGGACGTGGTTGTTTTCTGTCTGCAGTGACCAGTTTGTTTACGGCTCGGTCTGGGCGGGGCTGCAGGGTTATCTCGGGAGATAAGGAGCTGTCAGTGCATTTTGCATGGAGACAGGGGAGGCGGTTTGGTATGCACTGCAGCTGAGATGTGCGCCAGTGCAGTTGGCTGGGTTTTACCCACTGTGTGAAATGCATTGCGCTGTGAAAATGCGTCAGCATGCTTGTTTAATGAAACGCCGTTTGAGTTCTGTATCTGCATGTCTTTAGGCCTTTTAACGTTATTGGTTTGTTACAACTCGAGTCTTCACACTGAATCGGTATTTTCTGCCCCACGTTGTCCTGTGTATTTATACTTGACTTGCCCTTTTTGCAGCTCTACAGGAAATGGTTATTCCCGTAGGAAAACAGTTTCCTCTCCAGAATGACCATTTACTGTGTTCCGTAACGGCTTTGTATTTGGGGAAGTTGAGGTGGTGTTCCTTTTTACTTTTTTTTATACACAGCCTAATTTAAGCACTCAAAATTCTCAGGCTTAGAAAATATTGTAGTATTTATATGCGAAAGGCATAAATAAATGAATTTCATATGGATCACTTTTATTATGGATTTTTCTGTATACATACATGTATTGAATCAAAACAGTTACTGTGTGGTTAGTTTAGTACAGCTTGAATAGAAACAGATTTAATAAAAATGGATACTTCTCTACATTATTTTAATGTACTGTAGTATTTGTAATATTGCTGCAGTATCATACTTTCTGTTTAATAGTCCTGGGTTGGAATTTATTGGCAAAATTGAATATATGGTCCCTTTTTGGAATAAAGGCTCATAGGAACAACTAGCTAGCTGGGTCAGCCTGAGACTGTGTATGGTCACATATTATTTTGGCTATAGTTACAATTCAGAAGGAAAATAATGTTTTCCAGAATTTTTCATTAAGAATGAATGTGTATCGGGTCTTGGATGTCCTTGCTCTACCTCCAGTGTTTCAGAAAATTCAGGATTGTAAAGTGTGGGTGAAGTTGTCTTTAACTTCATTTTGGAGTAGTATAACTTTAAATTGCCCTACCTCCAAAATAAAGGGATAAAATGATCGGTTACATAGGCTCCTTGGCAGTAAGCCATGTTCTTGTTATTAAAATACTTTCTCCAACACTGTCAATGTTTCGCATTTCTTGACACAGTGCAAAGTCATGTAGGCTTCTCCTGTACTTTGTCAAAACCTGGCATACTGACAGCTACTGTTTTCTGGCGTTTCAAAAATCAGGATTGGTCAGAATTTAAAAAAAAGCAGGGCCTTCTCTTGTCTGTGTTAAGTGTTAGAACTGGGGCATTTTCTCGGTGCTCCAGTTTCTTCCCGTTTCCCATGCTGGTTAAGCTCTAGGTTGCCACAACCCTTACCAGGCTTAAGTGCCTTTCTCATAATGGGTGGACAAATTGAATGTGTATGGTATTGATTGTTAAGGAAACAACTATCAGTGCTGTAGAATGAAAAGGGATTTTTGCAGTTTGGTTTTGGGATTCATGTTGACTTTTCCGATGCTTAACATCTTGATCTTTCTTTTTGGTATGACGGGCATTAACTGCTATGAACCTAATGTTGTACTGGGCGTTTTGTAAGCGAGACCCGGTGTTTTACAGGAGATTACTGCTAACTAATGTCTCCTGTTGAATCATGCAAGCAGTTGCCCTGCTAAAGGGCTTCAGCAGCCTCGGGCTGTGCCTTGGGCATCTCTTGACGGGTTTCCCGGCTCTCTCCACTGCGCAGACGAGAGTGAGCTGAAGGAGTGCCTGTTGGTGCTGGTGGATGACCAGCAGAAGCTGGCGGCCGCCACGGCCAAGAGCACGCTGTCCGCGGCGCGGCTGCGGCAGAGGCTGGCCATCCTGGAGCGCTACCTCATCGCGCTGAGCCGGAGCATGCGGGAGGAGAAGTACAAGGCCCGGTGGAAGAGCTCGCCCAGCCCCCCGCTGCCGGCCGCTGACAAGAAAAGGTACACCACCCCCGACCGGCCTCGCTGCTGCGTCCTGCCACTTTACGGCCCTCTGATCTAGTGCTCTTCACGGGATCAGGCTTTCCCCTTCACCCCAAAATCAGAGCCCGTGTTTGTTCCCCCGAAAGGCTCCAGCGTAAGATTAAAAAGTAGTTTTAAGATGTGCACTTGTTGAGAGGCAGCTTTGTGCTTTGGGTCACAAAAATAGTTCATTTTTAATACGATCAGCATTTCATAAAACATGTAGGTTTTTTTAATTATATCCTAGCATTTTTTAATATCCTGTGATTATATATCAAGTCCTTTGTAGAATGTGGTATTTGTGCACTTGATGGACCTTATCTGTAGCCTACTGCTTTGAAAAATAAGAAATGAAATAACTCATTTTTCCTCTTGGGGCAAATTTCTCTGTTTTCTGTGTGTGCGTGTTTGTGTGTGTGTGGGGGTATTAATGAGAGGGGTGCATTCATGTGGTTCCTGTGATCGCAGCTCACGGCCTGCTGGGAAGGGGGTGGAAGGCCTGGCCAGGGTGGGCTCCAGAGCGGCGCTCTCCTTCGCATTCGCATTCCTTCGCAGAGCATGGAGGTCAGGTAGGCTTTCGACTGCACACCGTGCCCCATAATTACAGTGCACAGATATTTCGGGACCCGAGACCTCCTTCATTCCACGTGATAAAACGAGATCAGCATTTCACGAAAAGCAAGGCCTTCACTTAACCAAAGCAAACCTCTGAGGAGTGGCTTTCATTGGAGCTGACGCGTGGAAATGCGTGCAGCTCTCCCCTGCGCACCTAAGACGTGGTTGAAAGTCAAAATCAAGGGTCAGAGTTATTTTCTAATGCTGCATGTAGTTGAATAAGCTGTAGGCTGAGGTACCAAGCAGAACAGAGACACGTCAGCTCTGCCAGTGGAATTGGCATTGCTGTTCATGAATTGTTTCCAAGATATCAAGGTCAGAGGCTTGTAGAGCTCGGAGTGTTTTGTAATCTACGTAGGTCTTTTTGATTATCCCCTCCATAACACTGCGATCGGTTTTGGGCTGTCTTAGCATTTTCATGCTTTGTCCAAATCTGTTAGTTTTTAGGGTTTTTTAGTGTTCCTGATTGAATTAAAACATTTTCCAGAGATACACTTTACTATTGATCATGCAGGTCATTTATTAACATTTTATTTAAATTCTAGATCTTGTCCTTTCACATGTGCTTGATCTTTTAATGATATGCCTAGTATTTGTATGGGTTCTAATGTACTGTACGCCATCAAAGACATATGCTGTATAATTAAGCACGTAACCTTAATAACCTGTAAACAATATTTACCTTATTGGGGAAAAGCACCAGTGAAAATAATTTACTCATTTATTACTTTAAGTTATGAGGGTTTTAATGCAAGTGTTTTTAGCAGGTATAACAGGTGCACAGCCAGCAAAATTGGACCAGTGCTCCAGCCTAATGATTTATACAGTGTACTGTACACATGCATTTAATAGGTTAGCTACCAACAGGATCAGTTAACTTCTGTTAAACAGGCTAGATGGACTGAATGGCCACCACACACAGTTCTTACAGCCCGGCTTGTAACAGTGTTGATTAAAATTCTCACAATATGGCTTGGAAGAGTGCTGGCAGCTGTCCTCATGGACTGGGTGGGAGGTGGTGTGCTTGGCTCTGTCAGTGTAGTTAGTGTGTTAAAGGCTCCTGCCAAATGTATGTCATGCGGATAAGCTGACTCAGTGGGACTCAATTTCTAACGGATTGGAGAAGAGCATTAAAGATCAAGTTGAAGGGAGAACTGCTTGGGGGAAAAAATGAGTCAACCTTTATTTCATGTTGTTTTCCCTCTACAATCGATCTTAATCATAACCACTGTAATTGAAATTGACTACAGGTCAATTGAACGACTGCAACTACAATTGAATTGAAGCCGCAAGGGGATTTGTTAAATACTGACCCATAAATCCTACCTCCCTCAAGACAACGTTCTTTCCACCATATGCCCACAATCCAGATGGAGCCTGACTTGTCTTGTCTCTTACGGGTCAGGTGAGGATGCTGACCTGTGCAGCGAGCTGCTTCAGGAGTCCCTTGATGCCCTCCGGGCTCTGCCAGAGGCCTCTCTGTTTGATGAGGGAACAGTGTCGTCTGTGTGGCTGGAAGTGGTGGAGAGGGCAACCAAATTCCTGAGGTGGGTGGCTGAACCGAACGTGATGGACCCCATCGTGGCATCCCATCGTTTTCATCTTTGACGACTTGTCGAGCTGTCATTTGTCTTCTAAAAGATGCATTACATGTTTATAACGAAAAGGGCTTTAAGATTCTTTTGGGGGAAAAAAACAATAGATCTAAAACCTGATCTCACTAGGACTTGTTCAGCGTTATAGTGGTGCTTGGTTTTGCAAGCGGCCACAGTCTGTTAACTGTCATCAGTTTAGAGACTGTCGTCAGTATAGGGACTGTAACTGTTAATGTAATCAGTATAGAGAGTCAACAGCATGACAGCATTTTCCCAGGTCATTAGTGCAAGGTGAGTAAAGAAATGACTGACTATGCAGCTATAGAATTTGGAGACTTGCAACTTGCTGCATGTCTTGTTGCATGTTACAATGCATGTCTTTTTTTTAAATTCTTTGCCTGATTTAAGCAGTGATGTCCATGGAAGTCCAAGCGCCAAAGGTCCAGGGAACATTCCGCTGCAGGATCAGCACTTAGCTCTGGCAATCCTGCTGGAGCTGGCAGTGCAGAGGGGCACCCTGAGGTGAGGAGGGCATACGGGCTGGCGGCTTCTTTACGAATGACAACAGTGGAGACGTCACCCTGACCCCTGTCTAGAAAGGAACCGAGAAGAATTTCCACTGCTGGGAGGTGTAACCACTCAAGTGCAAAGCTGTAGTTTTAGATCTAAAACGCTTACAGTTCAGGTTATTTTTTAAAGTCTGTCTATTATAAAGTGTCTCCGCTGGGACTAGTGTCTTGTATTACACAGTATAGTGCGCTTTACAAACCACCTTTCACACTCTGAAAAAATAAAACTTTTTGAGTGCATTATAGCAGCCATTCTGCGCCACAGGGCCTTATAGTAGCCTACGTATGGAAATCAACAGTTTAATATCCCCATCTCTTCAAATATATATCGTAGTGTAAGAACGCTCAGTTTGCCTCACTATGCTGATCCAAACTCCCTTCCCTCCGTTTTGCAGTCAGCTGTTGTCTGCTGTATTGTTGCTACTGCGTCTGTGGGACAGTGGCACCAGGGAGACGGACAATGAGCGATCAGCTCAGGGCACCAGTGCCCCTCTCCTGCCCCTGCTTCAGCGATTTCAGAACATACACTGCAGCAAAGACCTGCCCAGCACCGAGGAGGAGATGGAGGTTAGTGAAACTCATTGGGAATGATACTTCTTTTAATGTAGAAAACGTAGCCTTGACCCTAGGTGGTTTTTGCACTGGGGTTTGGACTAGCACCTAAAGGCTACTCTAAGTCTAATCTTCTCATCCATCCTATCTTTAGCCATAGTCTTAAACCTTATCCTGTTCACAAAATATTAAATACCACATTTAAAAAACATTTGAGTTTTTTCCAGTATTGAGAGAGTATTGAGCTGAGAATGTCTCTTCGTTTCTTTCAGATTTTGACTGCACCACTGAGCCCCAATGAAAGCTTTCTGCGCTACCTGACTCTGCCGCAGGACAATGACCTTGCCATTGACCTCCGGCAGACAGCGGTGGTGATAATGGCCCACCTGGATCGTCTGGCGGGCCCCTGTAGCCCCCCACAGTGCAGCTCTCCAACCTCCCACAAGGTACAGTACCACCACTGAAGAGCACCCTTTACCTTCTTGAAAGATAAGAGAAGGGTAATCAAATTAATCTGTCCTTTTCTGCATTGGTTCTCGGTAGGTTTATTTCCCTTATTAATATACCTGTATTGTGTGAGTCTGTTTTTAGTAGCACCTGTGTCTGTTATTTAAGTAAAAGAAGCAGAAGAAACAAAAAACTGTGTCTTGTACTATGACAATAGGCGTCTACTACCAAAGTGATGAAAAACAGTAGATGACTAATTTAAAGGTACTCGCCCCATCATACCTACAAAGTGCTATGGGACCCGTATTCTTAACCTAGGGAGTGATTTACTAGTTTCAACAGTTACCACACTGACCAAGTGTAAATATCTAAGGGTTTAAATATCTAAAAGATCTGTGATGTTTTCTAGTTCGAAATAAGTCCTCTCCAAGTTTCCTTTAACTACGTGAGCTAAGCCATGAACTTAATATGGATATAGTCCAGGACAATATTGACCCACCCTTTAAACTTCGCTAGCTAATCACAGTGGATATTGTTCCATTATGAAGCCGTACTGTAGGCTCCAGATGAAGATTGCCTCTGATTCTCCAGATCACAGTTGTCCTCAAGGTGTACCTGGTGCGTGCTGTAGAAAAGAGCGATGTCACAGTGTGGTTCAGTGAAGTCATGTTTATTTAATGGATTGGCCCTTTTGGAGTGCACGGTGAAACCATGCTTTCGATATAACAATTTTGTATTTTTCTTCTGTAATCCAAATTAAGCCCTGGCCAAACTTGTGTTACATGTCAAGACAAACAGAACATGTATTTTACCACAGTGGAAAATTGCACACATGATGCAGGAATACTTTTAGGCACCAACCAGATGTGTATTCTAATTTCCAGCTTTCAATGAACAATGCAAGTGAAACTGGCAACAGGCAGCTAGAGTCAATCTAGCAGTCTTATGGTTTTTATTTTTCCGATTTCCTAACGGAAAGAAATTAAACGGTGTTACTTTGATATAATGGAGCACTTTTGGGTGAATGTGACTTTAAGCCCCAGACTGCTCCATCTCACTAAGCAACTGATGAGTTCAGTTTGTGGATGTAGCCACACCCAGAACACCTGTCAATTGCACTTGTCTGCACTCCAGTTTAGAAATGGTTGTTCTGAAAGTGCAGGCTTGGTTACGTTTTATTAGAGCAAAACCAGTGATTACATGATGGATATCTCCACCTGTCTGAGGAAGTGAATTCCAGTGTTCAAATGTTACCTCTCATTTGGTGCAAGTGGCATTTATAAACTACAAATGATGAAAACTGTTTAAGATGTGGGATCTTAGGCTTTCATAAGAACTGAATAAAAAAAATCGGTCCTCTGTTATTAAAGTAGCACGCAGCACATTTTCAGTGTCAGGGACATGATTTTTTTCTGAGTAATATCCGTAGAGCTGTGCTATCTTCAGCTCTCTGTTTTTCTCTCCTTGTCTCTGTACTTTAGGACCTTGGAATTCTACAGGTACTCCAAACGCATTCCTTGTGCATGAATGTTCTTTTTTTTACCCTTGTTTGCAAAAAATAAAGTCCTGTTGCTCTTGTGTTTTTGATTTGCTCGGATGCTGTCATTCTGCTTCAGAAAAAAAAAAAATAATCAAGAGCTTTGCTGGATGAGGATGATGTGCTCTAAGAGATTTGAATTAGTTACCATATTGAATACTGTGCTTCCATTCTATTTAGCTTTTTTAAAAGCCTTTGCTCCGAGATTTGTATTGCTGCAATAATGAAAGCAAAATTGGCAGATGATCGTTTTTTATTTATTTTCAATTAATTTAACTTCCTGTCTTTATACAGTGAAAAAAATTAGAGGTCCATCGGTAATGTTTTCCATGACAAATATGCATAACTTGTAAAAGCACAGAGGAACTGTAGATCAAAATCTTTGCATTTCCACAGTATATTTATAGAATTAGCGGACAAATCAATGGACTGAAGTTTTGTGGTGTTCGGGCAGTGGATGATAATGCATTTTAATTTGGTGCTTGCGTGTGTGGAGCTGTGAGAGACCCTGCTGAGTCAAAGGGCCCTTGGTATTTGCAATACTTTGAGACGGGGCAATGTATAGACATAAAACATAAGAACTGTGCCATTATGTAAACGGATATTAAGCAAATGTGTTCGGATATCGAGTAAGTGTATTCACTTCAATCACTGTTGTGTTCTTATACATTATCCAGAGGGGTATTTAATGGGCTGTGAGTGCTGTGCTTTTGATTGTTGATCATGATGGTCTGTTTTCACAGTTCGGTGCATCATTCCAAATTAAGGTCTGCTTCACATAGTTGCAGGAGAGTCCTGTGGCCCCGCAGTCATTGATGCAGTTGTTCGGCTTCTTCAGGGCACTCTGCAGGAGGTGATTGGCTGGGGGATGCTGGGCTGGAAAGCCCACGCGAATGTGAGCGGTCCGGTGCAGTGCAAGAATCTGGCTAACCTTGGAGTCATTCAGATTGTGTGCTCAGAGAAGGGCTTCCTGATCCTGTCAAGGAATGGAGGAGTCTACACCCAGAATTATAAGAGCACCACCCTGGTAAGCTCCCACCCCGTCGACACAGGCTTGTGTACTTTTGTGTCCTTCTCTGAAGAGAAGTCCAGGCCCCGTGGCTGATCTGAGGCTGCACGGTTCCTGATAATGCCGCGGGTGTGTTATTCCAGGCTCCCGTGCTGGTGCAGGGCCTGGCCTCCAGGAAGATTGTGAAGATTGCGGCCCATCCCGATGGGCAGCACTACCTGGCGCTGTCGGCCAATGGGGAGGTTTTCTCTTGGGGCTGCGGGGACGGAGGCCGCCTGGGGCACGGGGACACCACGTATGTATTTACCACACCGCCTGCGGGGATATGAGGGATGTAATTGATTTTCTGTGCTGTCCCTTGGGTAGACTACGGCACTTTAAACGATAAAACACGCAGGAATAGAAACACGTAGCTGCTGGAAATTTACAGCTAGTGTTAAGGGTTGTGGTAATGTTGAGGATTTTGTTTCCACCAGGTCAACAAAAATTGATATTTGTTGTTTTAGCTTTTGGAATGTTTGTTGTAGTGATGCTTATTGAGTTTCAGCCAATGTGTTGCACTACAATTTACCTAAGAATTTCTTACAACACAGTGAGCAAGTTCATTGTAAATATTTGTCCACGATGTCTATCGGTGGTTATCTGAAGAAGATGTATTTATTAAGATCTTTTCTATTTTTGCTATTTGTTTGTTTTTGGTACCTGGTCACTGCATGAAAAGAGGCTTTTTTAGTTTGTGTATACTTACATGTCAGATATGTGAAGTGGTTGGCCTCTTGTCCGCAGGTACCTGGAAGAGCCAGCGATGATCTCTGCCTTCACGGGGAAGCAGTCTGGGAAACACGTTGTGCACGTCGCCTGTGGGAGCACGTATAGCGCCGCCATTACTGCAGACGGGGAGCTGTACACCTGGGGCAGAGGAAACTATGGCCGACTTGGACACGGTACCTGGTGCTCTTTATACGGTTTAGTTTATCGGAATAGGTTACGTGACAAAGTCATCTTTTGTATCTAAACAAATTCACTACAGGATTCTTCTGTTCTGAAGGCACCAGGTGAAAGGAGCCTCATCAGCTCTGCTACCTTCATACTTTGTCACTATTATGAGTGTTTGTTTCCGTACAAGTACAGGTATGAAGTTTAACTATGTGAGCCGACGATCTTGTACTCCTCTCTTACCAGCAAGGTAAACATGCTTAAAATGAAAAGGTGGATGGTAGAGGAGCAAGGAAATAAAATAAAACTGCTGTCATTCATTGTTTTTTTTTTTGCACAGGATCCAGTGAAGATCAGACCACTCCCATGCTTGTCACTGGGCTCAAGGGTCTGAAGGTCATTGATGTGGCCTGTGGAAGTGGGGATGCTCAGACACTGGCAGTTACGGAGAACGGTGAGTGAGGAGCAGATTCCTTTGGATGAGAAATCATGAGCCAGCAGCCCACTAAATCCTTCCTGTCACTTTGGAACCTTTCTTTAGAAGGGAAAAGGAAAAGCCAAAACCTAAGGAGAACTGGGTTTCTTCTTTAAGAGTCGTTGTTGGACCAGTAGGTCGTGCTCTTCTTCTCTCTAGTTCACCTTTTACGAAATTCATGCCTCAGTGTGGTGACTGTGGATGTTGTGTTGGAGGAGATGCCATTCTTTGGATAAAACTCGGATCCAGGCTGCATGGTCTTCAAAGATCTAATGGCACTGTTTGAAAGTTTAGGGATGTAAACCTTGGTGTCCTGGCTAAATTAAACTCAGCTTCAACAGTCTGGCCTCCTTTAATTTCTCTTATTAATTCAGCCCGTCAAGCATTTGCTCTTTTCTTTGCCCGATAGAGCATAATGGATGTTGCGCATCACCCAGGTGTGTGCTGCACTCTTATATGTGAGGAGGGCCTTTGGGTTGAGGTTACGCCATGACGTTTTACAGCACCTTACCTGCAATTTCGCGTTTTTCGAGAAGGTGTCTTCTGTGTTTTTTTTTTTTCTGGACGTTCACGTGGTGCGCGTTCGTCTGGCCTCCTGCAGGTCAGGTGTGGTCCTGGGGTGACGGGGACTATGGGAAGCTGGGAAGGGGGGGGAGCGACGGCTGCAAGACCCCCAAGCTGGTGGAGAAGCTGCAGGACCTGGACATCGTGAAGGTGTGCTGCGGGAGCCAGTTCTCCGTGGCTCTGACGAAGGATGGCCAGGTGTACACGTGGGGCAAGGGGGACAACCAGCGCCTTGGCCACGGCACGGACGAGCACGTCCGGTACCCCAAGCTGCTGGACAGTTTACAAGGTGCACTCTCTCGGCCAGTATACGGCTCCTCTCTTTGAATTGATCTTTATCAGTCAGTGCGTAATTCGCTTTGGCGTAGAGGCATACCACCCTGACAGCTCCCCCTGTCAGGAAATAGTGTAAAAGTGTCACACCTGGGGTCATTCAGTATGTGTGAAAAGTGGTTGATGCTTCTAATGGGTGTGAGTGCGATGTGTGATGTGTGTAGCAGATTAGATAAGATCCTTGGAAAGTCAGAGGAAAATCTGCACGGTCAGGAATAATACTACGCTTTCTTGCTCAAAGTCGTTTTTTCCTTTCAAATAGGCAAAAAAGTGGTCGACATTGCAGTTGGTTCTACGCATTGCTTAGCCCTCACTGACGAAGGGGAAGTGCATAGCTGGGGCAGCAACGACAAGTTCCAGCATTTCGACACGCTGTTCTCCAACAAAAAACAGCCTAAAGCTCTGCCCGGTCTCAATTCCAAACATATTGTGGGAATTTCCTGTGGCCCTGGTCAGGTATGTTTACCAAGCTGAATGCAGTCTTTAGAGTACTATACTGTATGTTGTATGTTAAAAGGCTCTGAAATGAAAGAGAAAGAAAACTGGCTCTTATAATTGAAGCATGTTGCTCAGAAAACAAGAATACTTAAAGCTTTAGATCAACGGGGTGCTTAGTTTATTCTATGGGAGACATTTACAGTTGCAGGAAAAAGTTTGTGAACCCTTTGGAATTACCTGGATTTCTGCATTAATTACTCATAAAAATGTGGTCTGATATTCAACCAAGTCACAATAGTAGACAAACACAATCTGCTTAAACTGATAACAGAAACAATTGTACTTCTTGTCAGTACTGAACACAAAGCTGGAAAAGGCTACAAAAGCATTTCCAAAGTCCTGGGTGTTCATCAATCCACAGTAAGACAAATTGTCTACAAATGGAGGAAATTCAGTGCTGTTGCTACTTTCTCTAGAAGTTGGGCGTCCTGCAAAGATCACAGCAATAGTGTAGTGTGCAATGCTGAAGGAGTTGAAAAAGAACTATAGGGTAACAGCAAAGGACCTGCAGAAGTCTCTTGAACTTGCCAAAGTCTCTGTTCATGTGCCCACTATAAGGAAAACACTAAACAAGAATGTTGTTAATGGAAGGACACCATGGAGGAAACCACTGCTCTCCAAACGAAAAACATTGCTGCACGTCTCAAGTTTGCAAAAGACCACCTGGATGTTCCACGGCACTTCTGAGACAATGTTCTGTGGATGGATAAGACAAAAGTTGAACTCTTTGGCAGAAACGCGCAACGTTATGTTTGGAGGAAAAAAAAAGCACTGCACGCCAACACCAAAACCTCATCCCACCCGTGAAGCATGGTGGAGGGAGCATTGTGGTTTGGGGCTCCTTTGCTGCCTCAGGGCCTGGACAGCTTGCTTTCATAGAGGGAACAAGAAATTTTACAGGAGAATGTCAGGGTAGCAGTCTGTCACCTGAAGCTTAATAGAAATTGGGTGATACAACAAGACAATGACCCGAAACACAGTAGTAAATCAACAACAGAATGGCTTAAAGCGAATTACATTTGTGTTCTGGAATGGCCAAGTCAGAGTCCAGACCTCAACCCAATTGAGATGTTGTGGCATGACCTGAAGAGAGCTGTTCACGCAAAGAATCCCAGAAATATCAATGAACTGAAACAGTTTTGTAAGGAGGAATGGTCTAGAATTCCTCCTAACAATTGTGCAAATCTCATCAGCAGCTACAGGAAAGTTTGGTGGAGGTTATTGCTGCTAAAGGAGGTTCTACCAGTTACTAAGTACAAGGGTTCACATACTTTTTTTCAGCCTGGGTTGTGAATGTTTAAACGGTGTGTTCAGTATTGACAAGAAGAAGTACAATTGTTGTGTGTTTCTTGTTTAAGCAGACTGTATCTACTATTGTGACTTAATTGAAGTTCAGACCACATTTATATGAGTAATAAATGCAGTTATTCAGGTAAATCCAAAGGGTTCATAAACATTTTCTTGCAACTGTATTTATGACATGCCTACATACCCAGGAGTATATGCAATCTGTTTTTTATTCTCACACTGATCTAGCTGACCTAACTGATCTTGAATCATTTGGAAAAACAATCATCAGTTGGCTTGAATTAGTTGCTGGTTGAGAAATACATGGTAAACTTGCAGCAGTCTGGCTCTCAAGCGCTGGAGTTCCTCACCTCTGCCTAGAGAGAGAACTCCATATTTATGAGCTGCCCCCTGTTTTCTTGTCTTTGGTGTTCAGTATCCATATCCTTCCATTTACTATTGTCTTGGACGGGTTTGATAGATTACTGAAAAGGGCATTTTATAGATTTTTTTTTTAGGTCCGTTGTAATAAAAATAACTCAATATAAAAATAATTTATTTTATGCTCAGCAGCCATTCCCTGCAGTGGAAACCCTTGTAAATTTTGTTTAATGTCTAATGGATCACTGCTTGGCCTTACTTGCATGGTGGACTGAAGAAAGTACCTGTACCCAAAGGAATTGATGCTGTGACAGCTCTGATGTTTGCCTGTTGATCACAATCGCCGGTTAAAGCAGCAGAGGATTAACTGCACAAATGTGGAGGTCTGAATCGCGCGTTAAGTGCTGCGTGTCATTTTTAACCTGGCAGCTCGTGGGGTTCAGAGCGCTCTCGAAAACAAAGGTCTGAGGGGACGGTGGTTTGGTTGCCGTTGCAGAGTTTTGCCTGGTCTTCGTGTTCGGAGTGGTCCATCGGCCTGCGGGTGCCGTTTGTGGTGGACGTGTGCCCCATGACCTTTGAGCAGCTGGACCTGCTGCTGCGGCAAGTGAGCGAGGGAATGGACGGCAGCTCCGACTGGCCCCCTCCGCAGGAGAAGGAGTGTATGGTGGTGGCCACGCTCAACCTGCTGAGGCTTCAGGTACCGCGCAAGTGAGCTGCAGCTGGGGGCTCAGTGAATATCCCAGTTCCTTTTTGCATCTTACATTACGCATTGCATGTAGGGCACCTAAAACTTATTTTTTATATTAAATGAATGGGGTGTCCTAAAGTGCGAAGTCTTGACGCTCTAAGATCAAGCATCCGATTGCTATTAGCTGCACCAGCTACTTGGGATAAAGTTAGTTCAGCGGTTAAATTGCTCCCTTGTTGCCCTGTTGTTCTGTTGCAGCTTCACGCGGCCATCAGTAACCAGGTAGACCCTGAAGTCCTGGGCCTGGGCTTAGGCAGTGTGCTCCTGAACAGCCTGAAGCAGACGGTGGTGACCCTGGCCAGCAACGCCGGGGTCCTCAACACGGTGCAGTCCGCAGCCCAAGCGGTTCTCCAGAGCGGCTGGTCGGTGCTGCTGCCCACGGCGGAGGAAAGAGCAAGGGCTCTGTCTGCGCTTTTGCCCAACGCAGGTCAGGGTCCTCTCGTCGCACCTGCTGGGGCTGAGCCTGTGCGGGGTCTTCCCTTCGTGTTACCCCGGCAACTTTCCATGCAGGAGAAGGGAATTTTGGTTCTCCTCTTATTCATAGGATAATGCTCTCTCTGAAGACTAACGGTGACAGTCGAGTCGAGTGTGTTTTCTGACATTCAACAGGTGTTCTCACTTGGGTTTGACAAAAGCTTGCACAAACCCTTGTCTAACTGGTTAAAGTCACTGGCATTTGCTCTTGGCATAAGGCACGGCTTTTCTGGAATGTATTTTGCAGTGTTGGGAAATGAGACGAGTGTGAGCCCTGGTCGTCGTTTCATGATCGATCTCCTAGTGAGCAGCCTCATGGCGGACGGAGGCCTGGAATCGGCACTGAGTGCTGCTATTACTGCTGAAATACAGGTTGTTTTTTTTAATACTAGGTGGTCCTTCTACTTCTTGGAATAAATTATTATTCAGTGATTTAAAATGAAGGCAATTTGCTATTATTTCTGTTGCATTTGTGTTCAGTTGCGTTTCAAATGTGTAATTTCCTCCATGGTTCATGTGTCTTGAAATAAAGTGGCTGCTGTTTTCTGTTTGGCAAATAAGTAATGCCTTCAGTGAATGGCATCTTGGGCTACAAGATATTTTTAACTTTCTTTTCTGTATAGATGTTAAATCTGTATAGATAAATTCCGTACATGATAATGTAAGTAGCTGGGCTTACTCGGGGTCTGTAGTGCGAATGGTTTGGATTTGTGATTCTCCTTTTTTGGGAGAAGGAAAATTTTAAATGCAATAGTGAAACATAGAAGAATTCAAAGCAATACATGTACTGATGTGTTGGGAACTTTTCTTAGGACATTGAGGCTAAGAAGGAGGCCCAGAAGGAAAAGGAAATAGACGAACAGGAAGCTAACGCATCGACACTGCACCGCAGCAGGACTCCCCTGGACAAGGACCTCATTAACACCGGGATCTACGAGTCGGCTGGGAAGCAGAGCCTGCCTCTGGTGCAACTTGTTCAGCAGTTACTTAGGTAAGGCCCAGACCCAGGTCTTTGCTTGAACGATCGTTATTTCAGCCATCGTTTCTTGGGTATTGTTTTATTTGAACCTTTTTGGCCATATCCCAAAAATATCCCAGAATTATAATGCTACGACTTAGTCCCTGATATGTCTCCATTTTCATGGCAGTTTTAAAACTGAGACACGACTGGGGTTTCCTCTGTTTGTAGGAATATAGCCTCCCAGACGATAGCCAGGCTGAAGGACGTAGCTCGGCGGATTTCTAATTGTCTGGATGCGGAACACTTCAGCAAGGAGAGGTCGGCTTCCCTGGACCTGCTGCTGCGCTTTCAGAGGCTGCTGGTCAGCAAACTGTACCTTGGGGTGAACGGACCAGAGGGTGTTGGTGGATACAGTGAGTATTAGTAAAGCAGTCAGTCTCATCTTTAAGAAACATGAGATGGCATGGCCAAACAAATTCACCCTGTCTTCTATATCAAATAATCAAATACGCAATGATTAGGGTTCTGGACTCGCACCTGGAGGGTTGTGGGTTCAAATCCCAGGTGAGACACTGCCGCTCTAACCTTGAGCAAGGAACTTGACCTGAATTGTTCCAATCAAATACCAAGCTGTAGAAATGAGTGCAAATCTAAGTTGCTTTGGATAAAAGTGCCAGTCGAATAAATGCGTAGTTTGTAGATATTTTAGAAATGAGTGAAAATCTCATGAAAAGAAATAATGAAATGGATAATTTTCTAGATTCTCTTCTGCCTGATAGTATCGCAGATGTTTCTTTTGTTTTTCTCAAATATTGTTTGTGGTATTGGATATTCATCCACATTTTAAGACATGCCAAGCATCTCTAAATAGGCATATGTAGATATGTTTGCAGGTGTCCCTTTTGGAATGAATGTATCGGCACCCTGATAGAGAAAGTCATTTGTTTTTCTTTTTGGACATGATATTACTTGTTTAGTTATGCCACCTATGTTAAATGCATAGCAGTCAGTCCATCTCTTCTGCTTCCAGGTCCGGAGCTTTTGGGAGTGGGGTCCTTGTTGAAGAAGTACATTGCACTGCTGTGTACGCACATTGGAGACATCCTTCCTGTTGCCACCAGCATCGCATTCACTGGTTACAGGCCTTTTGCAGAGGTGTCTCGTATCATTGAAGGTGACCTGACAGGTAACTCTTTTTGTTTCTTAACTGCTTGTATGAATTTGTTGATTCCGGTCTGAATATTCAATATTTAAAAGTTATTGCATCAAGAATCTGGACTGTGCAAGATCTTAGACATGGAAATTATGATACTTAGTAGTTAACTAGACATTTACCCACCATGTATGGTATTTTTGTATGGGGATCGCTAGGTTTTTTTCTTGTCTGCATAAACAAAATTATAATTTGTTTGAATGGCTGTATGACTTTTGGGTATTGTCTGTTCCAGGTGTGTTGCTGCCTGAGTTGGTCGTGTCTATAGTTCTCTTACTGACCATGGATGCAGGTTTAATGCAAGAGACTGGATCCATTCCTTTGTTGGCTGGATTACTGGAACATCTGGATCGATTCAATCACCTGGCGCCAGGGAGGGAGAGAGATGATAATGAAGACCTGGCCTGGCCTGGGATAATGGGTAAACCTGGGTCCTAGCTTTGTGGAATTCAGTAGCTGAAATTAAATTGCATTTAGTAACACAGCAGCCTGTTTTAATTGCCATTTCTTTAAGACTTTAATACTTGAGCAAGGAAGACAGTACTGTCTTGATAAAAATTGGTCATCAAAGCCTGCTTCAAGATACATGTGACAAATGTCTTAAGTTTAATTTGCAGTGCTGTCTAATTTTACTTCATAATCTGGAAGATATAAGGCAATTTACTCTTTTAAAAATTTAAAAGAGGTAACAGAAAAGTTGGTAAAATTAGCATTTGTTTCTAGTTTACTTATTGTATACACTGACCTTTTATAGTGATGAGCACTCAGGTGCTTGTGAGATTCATAACCAGAAGGGGGATCCCAGGTCATTTCTCATCAGTCCACCTTTATGATGTGTTAATTGTAGCTTGACTTTTTATAGTACATTAGGGTCAAAAACAGAACAAGTAAAGATTAATATTATGCTGAAAATTAGTAAAAGGCTTGAAGAAGGCTCTACAGGTGAAATGCATTTCTTTCTGCTGTTCAAAATGGAATTAACTGGTTGTATTTACTGCTCATTTAACTGCAGATCAGCAAATGGCTTACCAAACTTAAGGCAGAAGAATACTTTTAATGTGTAATGCCAACCAAAAATTAAATTGGTTTTTGAAATTGGAGGGGTGTCTTTTTCTGTTCACTTAAGATGTGATATTCTGCTGTTGAAGGTTCATTCTTCACAGGACAGAGTTCTAGGAACAATGAGGAAGTGTCTCTCATTCGCAAAGCTGACCTGGAGAACCACAACAAAGATGGAGGCTTCTGGACTGTGATTGATGGGAAGGTTTATGACATCAAGGATTTCCAGGCTCAGTCCCTGACAGGAAACAGCATCCTTGGTACCAATTTGAATCTTTATAATTGACAGTTTTTAACATCAGCTGATAAGTACCTTCTTCTGCAGCTAAATTGAGTTCACCGAAGTGCTAAAACTAGCCAAATCTGAAAGTAATTTTACATTTTTTGGTCAGCATTTTTTTAAAAATCTGTTGCTAAACAGCCCTGGGGAAATTCTTGTTTAACAATATTATTTACACTTCAGCCCAGTTTGCAGGAGAGGACCCTGTTGTTGCTTTAGAAGCTGCCCTGCAGTTTGAAGACACCAGGGAATCCATGCAGGCCTTCTGCGTTGGCCAGTACATAGAGGTCGGTATGATCTTGTGTTTCCCAGATTGACATGTCTTACCTTGTGCCAGTATTACTGTTACTGAATTGTACCTCGCTGACAAATTAACCACAGCTCTAAACATCTGTTTAGTGATCCTTATGTTAAATAATATGGGTTTAACATAAGAATATCACATTCCTTTAATTTGTTTGCCTGTTGTTTTTTTGGGGGGCTGTGAAGTGCATCTTCACTTACCAGGCCTACATTGTCTCCCCTGTCCTCAGCCTAACCAGGAGACAGTGACTACCCCTGACCTTGGCAGTCTTTCGTCCCCTCTGATGGACACAGAGAGAAACCTGGGGCTTCTGCTAGGCTTGCATGCCTCCTATCTGGTCATGAGCACACCGCTTTCCCCAATGGAGATTGAATGTGCTAGTAAGTTTGCCGCATCCATAAAACTGCTCTGTAACCACTACACACTGCTGTGGCACATAGTCCAAATATATCTTCCCTAATGTCCTGTCAGTTGAATCAGTTCCTGTCTGTTGGGTCCCCTGTCTTGTTAAAAAATGGGATGTTTTCCTTTGTAAGCTGATCCACCTACATAGTGCAAGGATTATACACCTAAGGCTTTAGAGAATAAAGTTCAGATTGTGGACTAATGTATCAGGCCTTCAGAACAATTTCGTCAGACCCCACAAATAAACTAGGCTAATTTTATTTCGCTGGATCAGTTCACCTTAAATATCAGTAAGAGCCAGACTCAAAGTTTTCTACAAAAAAATAGAAGTTTGGTAATGACCATGATATTCAAACATTTTTGCCTAATTATTTTGCATTTCTTTTCGCAGAATGGCTTCAGTCCTCCATTTTCTCTGGAGGACTGCAGACCAGCCAGATCCACTACAACTACAATGAGGAGAAAGATGAAGATCACTGCAGTTCCCCTGGGACCACCACCCCAGACAAGTCCAAACTGTATTCCCGGAGGCTCACACTCAGTGACCATTCCCAGCCCTTTTTACAAGCCATTGCGGACAACAACATCCAGGACCACACTGTGAAGGTACTGCTTGGCTCAGAGAGGAGAAGTGCAGGTTTTGGCAGCATTAAATTGAAATGCAGCATCGAATTCTGATGATTTTTGCAGTTGATCCTTTTAATGAAAATATTTCAGAACTGCGTCTTGCATTGCTGGAAGGTGTGATGTGGGGCTTCCACATAAAATTGTAAAAAGCGTGTCATCGCTGTTTGTCTTTTGTAATAGTGCTTGGTATCCTGAAGGACTCCAGTGCGCTTCACATATAGCTGCAGTCCACTCACCACTAAAGTGTAGCTCCCACTTTGGCGACATACAGTAGCCACTGTGAGCCAGCAACATCTTGTAGGGAAGTGAAAAATTGCATTTGTCTAGACCGGTTAATTTAAGAGCTAAATTTACTGAGGCAACATTGTGTGAGCCCAATGGAAATTTAGTCAGGATACTAGAGTAATGCCCCTTAACAATTTGATAAGCTTGATGTGACCCATCAGGCTACAAAGCGATAACGCTTGTGAGCTCCTTACAAAGTGAGTATATTTTAGTGAACTTCACAGATGGCTGTCCACAAGTAATGCATAAATCTTGAAATGTTTGCTGAATGTTGTGAGGTCTGGGGATAAGTAAATAGACAGTTGTGTTTCAGTGCTTTAATACACTTTCAATTTTTCTCATTTCTAGGACTTTTTATGCCAAATTGAGCGTTGCTGCAAGCAGTACCACCTCATCACACCCATCATCTTCCCTCCAGAGCACCCCGTGGAAGAAGTAGGCCGCCTGCTTCTGTGCTGTCTTCTCAAACACCAGGACTTGGGTAAACTGGATTAGTTCGCCACTTTGTGAGAACTAGCGCACATGCTGGAGAAAGTAAA